AGTGAAACGATACACTGGTATCGCAAAATGATGTCATAAGTAAGCTTATCATTGCTCTTGAGAACCTTACTGGAAACATTTCACAATGTGGATGCAACGAGTCTTAAGATTTTAATGTACAAAAACCATCACTCTTTTTTGCACAATCAAGGAGATATTGCCCTTTATTATTTTTCAAACTTAAATTTTGTCTGGAGCATTGCAATAAACCTTTAAGAGGTATTAAAATGATACTTCCTAGGTAGGGAGAACTCAGCGATTAGGAGGGCAATGCACAAGAATCATAACTATCTTATTGCCCTTTGTAATTTTCATACTTAAATTTTGTTCCAATCGGGGAGCATTGCCCGTCTCTGAAGGCCCTTGTTACTTCACGTAACCTTTATCAAATGAGTTAAAAATCACAAATTCTTGCACGGTTTGCATATCTTTAATAGCATTATTATACATGTCACTATAATTGCGATGCAACATTAACAGGAACATCTCATGTTTTACATTTGCATTAAATATTATAAGTATTTTTATTATGGGATTTCCTTATTTTGCTTTTATTGATACAGTTGTGAAATGTGTCCTGATATAGCGGTGCTATACATGGTTATGGTGTTTCTTTTGTCAATTAATTGTGTATCACTTATTCATACTTTTGTGTAATCGCCTTGTGTAGTCATGTCTGATTATTACATTTGATAACAATTGTTTCTTCTTGAGGTGTTGCAATGCTTGGAACAATATTTGTCGAAGATGAAGATAAGAAAGACAATGTGACACTCAGTATATCTCAGAACGCCGATGGCAGATTTTCTATAGTGCAGCAAAGGTGCAATGCCAGGCAGGTAATCCGGGTTACTAAATTCTATTAAATTTTACATATGCGCAGAACAAAGTTCTTCTTAAATCAATAAATTTATGAGATAAAATGCAAAGATGTGGAAATTTTCATGCGACTTTCGCTGTCCTTTTAAAAATTACAGGATTATATGTTAGTACCGTCATTTCTGAAATCAAGAAAAATTCAAACTAAATGCTTTACTGGTTTTATATTCTACGGCATCATAAATGTCTTAAGAAATACAATGTAATTAACAAATTACTTGATAAATAGACGTAGATGTGAAATGAAAAAAGGAAAAACGCTCATGTCAAATAAGGAGAGACATGTGATTTGTTTACAAAAATAAGTTTCTTGTTAACAGCTTATTTGGTATCAAGTGTAGTAATTATTTATTACTAGCACCAATCGCATATATAATAATGAACATATAAATGACGGCAACACAGGTCCGGTCCTACCAGACACACAGTCCGGAAAGCGAGACACACAGTCTCCGAAGACACACAGTCTTAGGGCACAATCGTTCCCGCACGGTAGACTGTCTGTTCTCTAGTCGACTCAATATCTCTCTCCGCGCATAAGAGTTCCCGCGCAAGGGGAATAACTCCAGTGGTCGTTACCACATTCCTCCCCATAATATAAAAGGCATGTACATATAACTGATTAAGGTCAATTATGTCTTACAAGATATAAATTTAAGTAACAGTCACTGATCTCCTTAGACATCAATACAACACATAATCCTTCAAATGGGCAGGTACTTTGACACTTCTGTCCCTACGCGTAGTCAACACCCTTCTATCACTGTTAATGTCAGTGTCTGTTTCACTGTCCGAAGAACTGACAAATTTTCCTGTTTCATCCTCCTTTTCTAGGCTGTCCTCATTCGTTGTGCTTGTCTCCACCTCATCAGAAGGGACATCTTCACTTTCCTCACCACTCTCTAGACCTGCACTTGCCGCCTGTGCAGCAGTCCGATGGAGATTGCTGCGCAGTCTGCTCACCCACAGTGGTTCATCTCTGTCGGTGCACCTTTTTAGCTTATCGTGGTGAATGGTAAGCTCCTTGCCCCTACAATCTCTAACATTGTAGAGCGGTGGTTCACTCTGGGTAACGACATACGGCCCCCTCCATGGAGATAACAGCTTTTTGCTGACCCAGGTCCTTGATGACTCGTCCAGCCGATACACAACATCACCGTCGTCGTACTGTTGTTCCACTAACTTGACGTCGTATAACCTCTTCTGTCTCCGTTGAGCACTAGCCAAGTTTGACCGGGCAACATGATGGGCGTCTGCCAGTACCTGTTCCAACTTCTGAACCCACTTAGAGGATTCAAAGCGAGACATATTTGCGTTTGCGACGCCGGTAAGTATGTCGACTGGCATGATTACCTCTCTGCCGAGCATGAGTCTATTTGGTGTGAATCCTGTAGAACGGTTTTCTGTTGCATGTAGAGCCATGACCAATGATGGAAGATCTCTATCCCAGTGTTGGACCTTCCCTTCGATATAACATCTTATCATCTGGAGTATACTCCTATTACATCTCTCCACTTGCCCATTCGGAGATGGATGATAGGGCGTGGTTCGAGTCTTGGTTATCTGAAGGATACTACAAAAGGCTTTGAAGAGATTCCCATCAAAGTTCTTTCCCTGGTCCGTGTGCACAGTCAATGGACACCCAAATGTAACCACAAATCGCTCAAAGAATTCCTTGGCGATGAGTTCAGCCTTTTGGTTGGGCAAAGCGACACACTCTATCCATTTAGAAAACTGGTATATCATAACCAAAACGTAAATATTTCCTTGCTCGCTCGGGGTAAATGGGCCAAGGATGTCAAGATGTACACGCTCTATTGGGTAGCCTAAATGACAGCACTGCAAAGGCGCCGTTGGCTTCACACAGATCTTTTTGTTCTTGTTACATTTGAACATGAAGTAACATACTCCCTGCAGTCTTTAGCCATCTGATACCACATGAAAGAACATTTTGCTCTCTGGAGAGTCTTGTCACACCCCAGGTGACCCGCTGATTTGACATCGTGACAGTAGTTCAAAACCTCCCTCTTCAGAGCACTGAGAACAACAAGGCTCATGTGTCTATCTGGTTTGTTTTTCCAAATATACATAAGTACATCATTCTTCATTGCCAGCTGGTTGTGACATAGCCATATCGACTTAGTAGCTGGGCTCGCGAGGTACAGCTCATGATCCGATGGAGGTGAACCTTATAACCAACCTAGGATACACCCCAAATCCCGGTCAGCAAGCTGCATTTCCCGGATGTCGGCATCTGAGTAACAGCCAGTCCAGTTAGGAAAATCACAACTTTCCTTGTCATCCAGTGGTTCGACCTTGGCTTCATCAGTACTCTTGACGGACTGTACACTAGGGACTTGTGACGGTTCCATTTTCCTTGCCAGCGGAACCACATCATCTACATCCTCAAGGAAGCGCTGCCATTGATCATGTGCCCGTCGACAATATTTGCAACCTTTGCATGGCAAATTATCTGGAGATGATCCTGCCTAGTAACAATCACACTGATCAAGCGTATCTGGGATCCTTGAGAGTCCATCAGCATTCGAATGAAACTTCCCACTTCTGTGACTGATTTCCATGTTATATTGAGCTAGCTCCTCTAGTCACCTTGCGAGCTGACCTTCTAGGTGACGGAAGCGAGTGAGCCAAGTCAGTGAGTTATGGTCTGTCCGTACATAGAACTTCCTCCCAAGAAGGAAATGTCGAAAATACCGGGTAAATGTCACCACAGCCAGAAGCTCCTTTCTGGTTGTGCAATACTTTCTTTGTTCTGGGGTGAGAACTTTCCCACCATATGCTATGACTTTAGTGACGCCACCCTGTACCTGAGATAACTGTGCTCCAACCGCCGTGTCTGAGGCGTCGGTGTCTAGTATGAACCGGTAGCCGTAGGATATGCCAGACATGGTGCAGTTGTCAGTGCAGACTTCAGACGCTCAAATGCCTGTTGATGCTGGTCATTCCATTCGAATGTTCGTACCTTCGAACCAGTCAATTCGTAAAGACACTGAGTCATTCCAGCATATCCTTGCACATGCTCTCGGTGATAATTTGCGTAACCCAAGAAAATCTCAACTTCTTTCTTAGTTTGAGGTACAGGCCAATCCTTTATAACATCAACTTTGTCTGGTGCAATACTGACTCCCTGCTGACTGATGTGTTTTCCTAGAAACACACATTCCGTCCTGAAAAGGGCACATTTTCTGGACTTCAACTTCAGCTGATGATCTTGCAACCGAGTGAATACTTTGCGGAGGTTTTCCAAATGTTCCTCAAAGGTTTTGCCTAGTACATTGATGTCATCTAGGTATGCCAGCAAATCCTTCCATAGCATCCCCCTGAGCACCAGCTGGATTGCTCGTTGAAATGTTGCTGGGGCGTTGCACAAACCAAATGCCATCTTCTTGTGTTCAAAAAGACCATACTTTGTAATAAAAGCAGTCTTCCTTTGGTCCTCTGGTGCAATATCAATCTGGTAATAACCAGATGCCATGTCTAATGTGCTGAAGAAATGTGAACCAGCGAGAGTAACTAGACAGTCCGATATATTTGGAAGAGGAAATGTATCCTTCACGGTTTTACTATTCAACTGTCTATAGTCAACACACCATCTTACGGAACCGCCCTTCTTTCTCACGAGCACAGGTGCAGATGCCCATTCTGAGGATGATGGTTGAATGACATCTGCTTCCAACAGTTTCTCGAGATGTGCTTCTTCCTCACTCTCAAATCCAAGTGGAGTACGGCGCATTTTTTGTCGCACGGGCATTTCATTTCCAGTGTTTATGCGGTGCTTAATGTTTTTCAAACACCCGATGTCCAAGTCATGCTTTGAGAATACATCTTGGAATTCTATGAGAAGCGACCGCAATTCAGGCACTTGGCTGTCATTTAATCCTTTAGAGGACCGGCAGAAAAGCCCCTCAAGTCAACGATCACCAAACATGTACTTAAGAATAGCACTAAGAAATAGAACTTTTCTCAATGATATCATTATTATAACCGTAAAAAGCCCAATAGTTTTTGTCAACCAGTATCCTTTGAAACCCAGTTTTAAGAGTTTGTCTGTTCGTTTGTCAGTCAAGTTAAGTCATGGATTGTACCGTCACTCTGTCATAATGTCTTGCTTTCAGGATGGTGGCGTATATTGTACCGCTACTGTTGCTGTGAACGGAGAATTTAATCACGAACTGGAACCACAGGTCAACATCAGTATCCAGGCAATGGATAGGGGCGGACTACAGGTCACTGCTAACATGTCTATACACGTGGTAGACGTGAACGACCCACCCACGGTTTGTACTAATTGTGAGACTATTCCATAAGTGAAAATACTCGATCATACATCAGTATCAACACAATCATCTTGTCGTCGAAAATGATGCTTTGGCAATGGTGAAATATGTATCGTCTATGTAGTGTTTCATAGACAAGCGTAACATTATTAAGTAATGTACGATATAAACCATTAATCGTTCGCGACCTTGTCACTTGTAATACAATTGCCCCACGAGATAGCCCCTACTTATTCAGTTTTTGGCCACTCTCAAACACGGTCTCAGTGGTCAACAGGTGTTTCAACAATATCGATACAGTTGTCCCACCTTCCAGTTAGTGGTTCAAGGAGACGCTAATTTCATCATATGTAACACGACCCGATAATCCCGCTTCTGGAATTAAGGTATCTATGATGAGTTGAAAAATATACCCAGCATTCTATGATGTACCTTTAATAAAGAAAAGTGAAATTGATGATACAACGACAATAGTGATATCAAAATACAACACTACATACATACACTCGTGCGCTTCAGGAATGAATATAGAGGTGAAGTAATGCAAAATAATGTCTTATTTTTCTAGTATAATTTAAGGGTATTCGCTAGCCATTGGTACATATATATGGAAATTCACTGATCAAACAAAATTTGAAACAACACGAAGAAAATCACTCTATTAAGATATTATCTTCTCAGGACATACTTATCAATGGCGAGGCAACAACCAACATCTCTGTGCCGGAGAATGCCAATTACTTTACAATAGGGAAACTGGAAGCTTTGGACGAAGACGTAAACGATGGCCATGCATTCTTCCTTACCAATTCTGCGGGCAGAAAATTTATCATCGAGGACGACATTTTAAAAGTATGATATTAGTAGCCCGGAAAATAAACATCCAGAGTTTGGGTGAGGTTTGGAAGATTTTTGCTTAAAGAATTTGCCGGAATTTATCATCAATTTTTAATGTGTATGCGGTACATTGTATTTCATTATGCAAATATGGCTATGATGTCCGTCACCTTTTTATACAGAACATATCGGCTTATACATTATCTCCGAGTTACAGGGCTAATGTTACCATAATGTCCTTTGCAGACATATGCGGCAGCTAACTTGGACTACGAAGAAACCCGAAATTTCCAAATCAGAATACTTGTGGAAGACTTGGGGACGCCGAAACTGCTCTATCAAAAAACGTTTAATGTTTATGTGGAAGATGTTAATGAAGCGCCATCTACGTTGTCATTGTCCAAAAATATGGTAGATATATTCCATCTCTTGCAATCACCTACATCAATATTATACAATATATAATATTAGTTAATGATGTAAAACGAAAATTCCTTGATTTTCGACAATGATTGGCTATAAAAAGTATAAAACGTTTTTTCACTTATTTTCTAACTCTGAAGTGATAGCTCCAAAATGCATGTTCTTTAAATATGTATGTGTTAGTTATCACGAGAGATTAACATCAGTGTATCTGCTTATTGTTTAGGTTATAGAGAACTCTGGTGCGGGGACAGAGGTCGGCAGACTGAGTACCTCAGATCCTGACAATGATTTGGAGGCTACTCAAACATTTACATATTCCTTGAAAGAAAACTCAAAAGGCAGATTTGCTGTCGACGGAGACATAATTAAGGTAAGTCGACTTCTTCAAGAGAGAAAAAAAATTAATATGGTTTTATGAAGTTTTACCTACTTTGCAGTTTTCATATTCTGAATTATTCAGCACCACTCGTAGGAGGACGAAACAGCTGCATGATGTAGCACCACTGACGAGTCCTAGGGGGCGAATCAGTTGTATGATGTAGCACCACTGACGAGTCCTAGGGGGCGAATCAGTTGTATGATGTAGCACCACTGACGAGTCCTAGGGGGCGAATCAGCTGTATGATGTAGCACCACTGACGAGTCCTAGGGGGCGAATCAGTTGTATGATGTAGCACCACTGACGAGTCCTAGGGGGCGAATCAGCTGTATGATGTAGCACCACTGACGAGTCCTAGGGGGCGAATCAGCTGTATGATGTAGCACCACTGACGAGTCCTTGGGGGCGAATCAGTTGTATGATGTAGCACCACTGACGAGTCCTAGGGGGCGAATCAGTTGTATGATGTAGCACCACTGACGAGTCCTAGGGGGCGAATCAGTTGTATGATGTAGCACCACTGACGAGTCCTAGGGGGCGAATCAGTTGTATGATGTAGCACCACTGACGAGTCCTAGGGGGCGAATCAGTTGTATGATGTAGCACCACTGACGAGTCCTAGGGGGCGAATCAGCTGTATGATGTAGCACCACTGACGAATCCTAGGGGGCGAATCAGCTGTATGATGTAGCACCACTGACGAGTCCTAGGGGGCGAATCAGCTGTATGATGTAGCACCACTGACGAGTCCTAGGGGGCGAATCAACTGTATGATGTAGCACCACTGACGAGTCCTCGGGGGCGAATCAGTTGTATGATGTAGCACCACTGACGAGTCCTAGGGGGCGAATCAGTTGTATGATGTAGCACCACTGACGAGTCCTAGGGGGCGAATCAGTTGTATGATGTAGCACCACTGACGAGTCCTTGGGGGCGAATCAACTGTATGATGTAGCACCACTGACGAGTCCTAGGGGGCGAATCAGTTGTATGATGTAGCACCACTGACGAGTCCTAGGGGGCGAATCAGTTGTATGATGTAGCACCACTGACGAGTCCTAGGGGGCGAATCAGCTGTATGATGTAGCACCACTGACGAGTCCTAGGGGGCGAATCAGTTGTATGATGTAGCACCACTGACGAGTCCTAGGGGGCGAATCAGTTGTATGATGTAGCACCACTGACGAGTCCTAGGGGGCGAATCAGTTGTATGATGCAGTTCAGTTAATTGTTTGACGATTTATCATTATCGAGTTTTAATAAGCACGAATCTTTGTAGATTCAGCTTTTTTCTTGTTTAACGTTTCCTTTTATCTAGGGATTTTAACAAAAGCATACGGCTTTTATCCCAGGAGTATAAACACATAATGAAGACATCACCAAATAAAATAGATAGGAAGACAGCAATCACGAAAATTGGAAAATCATAAATAGGTATTGTTTAAAAACGTATGATTATTTATTTATTTATTTACTACTGCACTAGGTATCACGATCTATCGATCAGTGTAAGACTGCTACATGCCGCCTTGATTTCGAGTCGGAACCATATGTGTCTATTGAAGTGAATGTTACTGATAGTGGATCGCCACATCTGTCCATCACACATGAATTCAAGATACAGGTAGTTGATGCCAATGACGCCCCCCACACGATCAGCCTGCCAGACAACACTGTTAGAGAAAATAGCCCTGTAGGCGCTTTTATAGGTAAGATGGCTATAAATATCTGTATACATAGAGATCTCTGAATATTCCGGTGGTTTGATTCTGCACATTTTTTCTACAATGCAGGAACACTCACATCTGTCGAAGAAGACGCCGGACAGTCAGTGTCGTATATGCTTCTTGACAACAAGGATCTGTTTGAATTGAAAAGTGGGTCCAGACTAATCAGTAAAGGTGTGTATGACTACGAGGAAGTTTCCAGCTACAATATTACAGTAAGAGCGACAGACAATGGAAAGGATCCGCTATCGGTAAGCGAGTGTTGATAGAAAATTGATTGCGATCAATTTATTCGTGTTTTATTTATTTAGAATAAAATATATTCTTTATTAGTTCATTACTATTAAATGTAATAATATTACGTAATCGGTTTAAAATCTGTTTGCGTAACAAATACTGTGTCTTTTACTCTCAGGTCGATACCACAATGACTATTGAAGTTCTCAACATCAACGAAGCACCAAAATTTTCCGGAGACGTGGAGTTTCAAGTTAACGAAAATGCCGCCATCTACACCCTTGTTGGCGTGCTGAGTGTCAGTGACCCTGACAGAGAAGACCATCTCACCTTTACTATCACAGGTGCTGGAAGTGTCTTCAAAGTGACTGATGCCGACTGCCAGCAACAGGTATGCGGTGTACTGTGATGATTTAAAAGTGTTTGAACTCAACCATTACAGATATCAAAGTCAATGCCAGAACACATTTTTACTTTTATAAAACTTACAAAGTACTGCATAATTTTACACTTCACCCAATAAATCATTTTGTTTTTTCTCTGTTATATTGCATGCATTGATTTTATTTTGATTGTGTTCTTGATTGGAAGGAGGTGATACAGAAAACGCTCTGTACATGTAACCTGGTGCTGAACGAGCCTCTAGATTATGCTAATTGGCCGGAATTTACTATAACTGTGACCGCTCAGGATCAAGGCGGCTTGACTGTGACGCAAGACCTCGTGGTCAAAGTATTAGATGCAAACAACCCACCAACGGTAGTACCTCTTATAGTATCAGCGCTAACGTTTAAAGATAAACATGATCTAGGTAGCTTAATATATTATTAAAGTAAAGGCATCTCAGAAATTGAGACATTTATTTTGATATACACAGAATTCTGTTCCGCCTCATCTTTAATTAACCCTTTGTTATGCTGAAATTTCCATAGTTAAGCAAAGTTTGACAACTTACCAACAAAACTAGGCTTCAGTAGTGTGTTTTAATGTTCTTCCTTACAATTTAAAATCAATTATGTTTGATAGTGAATAAATTGTATATGTTTTCTGTTTTAGATTGTTGACATTGAAGTATATTTAGTATTCTATTGTCTTTAATGCCATAGATACACAAATTAATTGGATGCTCCTTTTACAGAACATTTTGATTAACGGACACTCGACGACTGAGATACCAGTCAAGGAAAACCAGAAAGACACCAGCATTGCGACACTAGAAGCGGTGGACTCTGATCAGGGACAGATCTTTACCTATAGTATTGTATTCACGGATACTGAGCTATTTGAAATAATAGAGGACCAACTAAAGGTATCATCACATCCATTACGTAAACATTTTTTTTCTCCAAACACGATAAATGTGTTTTTATTAATCTAAATAAAGGTTAATATCCATTAAGTTACACTTATAAATTCATTCCTACAATTCTGTTGAATTTCTTGAAAGTTATCTGTTCTTTATCATATACAATTCATAAAGTTGTAATTTTTTCGGTCATGTGCAATTTTCATTTCAGTGATATTCCTTTTATACGTTGGAATTCCGATGTAGCCAGTCTTCAACTGATTGTTAATATATAAATAAATATATAAACAATTGATTTTTATGCATGTTCTCGAAGGAGAAAATGTTATTTAACCAGTTGTTGTTTTAGGTCGTAGCAGGTGCTAATTTGGATTACGAAAGCACAGAAGAGTATACGATAGAGATATCCGTGACAGATGATGGTACACCTCCACAAAATTTCACAAAGGTTGTGAGCATACTGATACAAGATGTCAACGAGCCGCCCTCCAACCTGTCCATTACAAGTACTCAGGTAACATTTGCAACCCAAATATCAAAATCATATCCTGATAAACGATATGAAAGTATTTCAGGATATTAGTAACTTTGATATAGGATTTTTTTTTATATTATGAACACATGTTCATTATTTCCGACAAAAGAAATATGTCCTGTACATATAATGTCACAGCGATTTATATGTGTGATTCATGTTCTGTGGAATAGAATATAGAAACATTGATCTGTTACAGATAGTAGAGAACAGCGGTGAAGGAGTCGTGGTAGGAGAGTTCCTGGTAGAGGACCCAGACAACGCCAAGCTTCCGAAGCAGTCAGCTACATTCACGTTAGTAGACAATGCAGACGGGAGGTTTATGATTAAAGGAAACGAACTTCAGGTACTACCTCTTAACGTGTAATCAGACATTCCGTGTAAATCTTGCTGATAATCCGGAGATATTATTTGGATATTATTCAAGTACTCTGGAATCATTTTTATCAAACATCTAAGCTCCTGTCTTCCAACAAAATTGCTTTAGTTTATGATATATGTGTCAGGAACGATAACACCTGATTTATATAATTTTACTTTTATATGTATTCATTATGACGTATTTGAAACGCATACTCTTATCCCAGTGTTTATAAGGTAATGATGAAACATTTTCTGTTGCAAAGGTTGCTAAGCCAAACGGAGTTTGTCTGCAGCTAGGAGGTGACAAATGTTATCTGAATTTTGAGAGTGCACCAGTACTTCACATTAGCGTTTTAGTGACAGATACAGGGGTACCGAGTCGCAGCGATCAGTTTGAGATGGACATCAATGTTGTCGATGAAAATGATCCACCGAGGAACATTCAGATTAGCAGTAAGAAATTTGTTAAATGATTGAGGAGAAAACCTTTGTAGTGAACAAGCTTACATACTATTATTTGAATAAAAATAAAGTGAAAAGAATGTTGGAAGCTGGAGAAATGGTATCTGGGGTGAAAGTAACAACAAAATATTAAGACAAAACAATTGCAAGATTTGTGTACGTTAGCAAGCCGGAAGAGTTATTTTGAATAGGTGGTGAAATGATGCTAAGAATAGAGAACAGTAGCCATAATATTGATATGAGAAGAATACAACATATGTTGAAAAGAGACATTAAGAGATTTCGAAATGGATCAGTGAGGTTGATAGTTTAAAGAAGAAGAAACGGTAGTCGGCAACGTAAACATCAAAACTTTTATGACAAAGTATATCGTTTCATGCCATATTACTGTACTTTTTCAATATCTCTGAATATTCTATCAAGAAAACGTGATGTCTGTATATTTTATAAATCCAGACTACAAGATAGAGGCCCTAGCATCTGCCGGCGAGGTAGTAGGGAAATTGACAGCCGACGACGAAGACGACAAACAGTCCATGGTGTACTCATTACTAGATGACAACAACGGGTTGTTCGCAGTTTCGGAATCTGGTGTTGTTACCAAGGCCACGGATGACGAACTAGATATCAACACACTTTATGCCATCACAGCATCCGCGACTGATAACGGAACAATTCGGATGCAGGTACATAGTTAGCGTATATATTTAACGTAAATAAGGTTCCTGTTAACAACAATAAAGATAGAAGATCTTGTTTATTCTAAAAAGGTATGTAATGCATAATTATGCTTATTTTTTCAGAGAAAAGTAGAAATGACTTTGTGTTCGTATACTGCTTATTTTACAGTCAGAAGAAACGTTCACAATAGTTGCAATAGTGAAGGATATCACCAAAATGACATTAAACATTACATCTGAAGGATCAGGGGGGCATTTTGACAAAGGATGGCCAGTTGTTTCTGAAAACCTACCTGATGACACTGTGGTGGGCACTCTCGTTGCAACTGACCAACGTCCTGACCAAACATTGGTCATCCAAATCATCAGTCAGCTAATGGCACTTAAGCTGGACACCACAACAAACTGCATGAATAAGGTTCGACTATCATATGTTGCACGATTACAGTCTATGTGAGATATGTTATTCATTTTCTCGAGTTCCTATTCCGACGCCTCATTATTATGTGTAAATATGGATAAGGTAAATGTTGCAATATTAATGAAACAATACGAAGACATTAACACATGTTTGCTTCTTATTAAAAAGAACGCTCGATATATTATTATTATCAATTTTTTTTGCAATAACACAGAAGATGATTCATAGCGCTTGGAATGGAATGATTAAAAATGATATTATTTATCGTCTCTCAATTTATTCATGCAGGATGGTGGTACTGAATGCAAAGTTAAAGTGTTAACTGGTGTGGAACTGGACTTTGAGTCTACTCCCATAGTGGTCATCACTGGCCAAGTTACAGACGGTCACAATCAGTCCTTTACCCACCAGTTTATACTTCATGTACAGAACGTCAACGAACCTCCAGAGGTATTGTTATTGGTCCTAAAATAACAAGACGCATTAACTTAAAAGAGTGATGTTGTATGCCTATATCATCTTGTATATGTATCAATATCGTGTTTCTGTGATGAGTAGCTAAAACACACAAGCCCGATATTGGTATCATATAGAATATATCATATAGAATACTGGTAATTCCTAATTAACAAAATCAATTATTGTAAGAGGTTTTCTTATCTAAAAATATAGCGACATTTATCATGTTTAGTGATATACATTTCTGAAAAGTCTTAGGAAGTAGAAATAAATAACTGTATGATACAGTTTTATGCATTGTATGACGTTTTTTTGAGAAGGTCATTCACTTGTGTCATTAGTACTGCGAAAGCTGAAATCACGTGATATTCATTTGACATTTATAAACATTTATGAATATTCATATTCAAGGGTTTGCGTTTTGACGGGGATCGAATGTTTGTCCAAGAAAACTTAAATGGGGAAGTGTTTGAACTCTTCATTGCTCAAGACCCAGACGAAAATGACGTTCTGTCTTATTCTCTCGTCGATGACGGAGATGGGCGGTTTACTATAACAAAGGATGGACACCTAGCAACAGCCCGAGGTAGAGAACATTGATTGTATACACTTTAGACCAATATCCTTTAATTACAATATTATGGATGAGTCATGTATCATGTACCTATTTACGATATGATAAACCATGGCGTCAGCGCAAAAAAACAACAACAGAAATTCAAATTTTATTATATAAATCCCCCAATCCAGAAAGAAATAATACAAATAAATCATTTAAAGTTTATTACTGTCTATTTGTACAGATGCTAATATAGATTTCGAGGTGACTCCTTGGGTCAACATCACAGTGAATGTCAGGGATGCTGCAGGGCTAGGGTTACAAACAGTATATACCGTTGATATTTCTGACGTCAATGAAAACCCTGGCAGCATTACTCTGACCAACAACACAGTGAGTGGCATTTTGCAATAGAAATAGTTTAGTTTTGTATATTGAATTCATAGCTTGAATACTCCATTTCTATTTTCGAAAGCACGCAATTTGCAAATATTTTGTTAAACTAGAAGTCGGTACGTTTATTTTCACTGCTGCTTAGATAATCTGAAATCGCTGCTAGTAAATCCCACTCATTTGTTATTATCAACTTTGAAGTAAAGAAATAAATATTTACTGTCAGGTCTAAAACATAATTGTCAAACCAAGACTATTCCTTTCTGCCACGTGAAAGTAATATAAATTCGAGAATTAAGATTATGATAATCGGCGATAATAACTTCTGTACTGACCCAGAGTGGGAAGTAAGTTCCTTCATTGGTTTCATGATATCAAAGTTAAAACTGAATTATCAAAAATTGAAAAGTGAAGGTGTAAGTTTCTCTTTAAGCATTATTTGAATATGCAATTCTTAAGGTAGAAGAAATGTCTCCCCCTGGTACACATGTGGGTATACTTGAAGCCGTTGATTCCGATCAGGGACAAACAATCGCTTACAAACTTCTGAGTGACGCTGATGGAAGATTTTGGGTCGATGATAATGTGATAAAGGTAGGCATGCTATACATATGACCGGTCATTTTAATTTCACATTATAAATATCTTTAATTGCTTAACAAAAGATGTAACAAAAGAGTAAGATGTATAAATGAAAATGTGCAGTAAACAATCACAGAATTAATAACACAATAGATGCATAAAATACCTAGATATAAAGAATGTTAGATATAAAGCATTTAAACTCGTTTACATATGAACTACAATTTACATGTAAACGAACATTCTGCGTATATCGAACAAATCTTATTATTCATATATACCTTAAGGTGAAAGATGAAGGAATACTTTGCACTGAAAAAGGAGGGGCATATTGTTTACTGGATTACGAATCGGAGATATCACACACCATCATGGTGGAGGCAAGTGACAATGGCAGTCCCGTTCTTCGGACCACGACCGTAATACACGTACTTGTCAAGGATGTTAATGACCAACCAAGGGACTTGACTTTTAATTTAGTCAATGTGCGAGAGGACAATGAGATAGGAGAGGTCATCGGGAAATTAACGGTTTGTAAGATTACAAAGCAATCCCTTTCTCAGTGTATACTAATAATGCAGAACACGTATTTCAATATATATAATATCAATGTATCTTTCCCTCGATTTGTTTAGATGATTTAAGAATTATTTATAAAGTAAACAATATTTTCTGTATTATAGGCTTTTGACGATGATGCAGGGGCTTCTTTGCATTACACTATCTTATCTGGGGATGATTCGGAGGTGTTTTTGGTAAACGGTTCAGATGTGCTGCTTCAAAAGCATTTAGACTATGAGACTACTCCAAAATACAGTTTGACTCTTGAAGCTATAGACAACGGCCAACCTCCTCAGTCGGTTAGTGCTTTAGTATCACACAAAGATTGTCAAGAAAATCACCTAAATACTTGACATTGTTTTTCTATTTTTCAACAAAATCTTAAAGTTTTAGATGTGGATTATATGTGAAGCAATTATTTGAAATATGAATATGTATACCTGTCTCATGTATTGTCCATTCGCATTATAGTTATCGTCTGCTTTAGGACCAGGAGTCATTTGTTTATTTTTATCTATATTTCAGATATCTAGTGTTTTTGAATTGAACATTGTTGATGCCAATGAACCTCCAGGCGTTCCGACATTTATACCCAAAACAAGCGGCAATCACGACTTCCCAGTTAACGCACCTGTCGTCGACGAAAATGCAGTTCTTAACACTCTCATCGGGCAAATCGTCGTCAAGGATCCTGATGATAACGACATGGTCATGTTTACCACAACAAACTTAGATATTGGTTTTTTTTACCAGGAATGCTGGCCATTAAAGCAGGTATTTAAATAACGTTTCCCGAAAGGTTAACTACTTGTGTCGCAAATGTTGTAGAATACTAGTTATATCGTTTTTATCCTAAATTAAATTAAGAATCCAATTAATGAAATCTTATTTTCTTGAGTCATCCTTAATTCTTCAAAAATATGCATTAAATGTTACAAAACAACATAAATCAGTTGTGCTCTATTGATATTATTTCCATTAGGGAGTTCACTGTTCATGTGACGTTAGGGCGCTGGTGTCGTTTGACTACGAGACACAACCCTCTGTAGACGTGTCTGTAAGTGTGACTGACCGGAAGGGACTCACCTCTTTACTAACGGTCACTCTTGATATAGCTGACGTCAACGACCCTCCCACAGTAAGTTAAGGTCAAATATACAAACACATTTGATATATGCCTGGAATACTTAAAATAAAATAATATAATTGATATTGTCTACATTTTCTTCAGACCTGTTATCGAGAAAGACAAATGCTCGTTGACGGTGTTTTACGTCCGCTTAATGGTCATGATAATTAGCTAATAAGTTCATGGAGTCGAATAAATCTTTCTCTAATTTGGAATACTACTGTTATAAACACTTTCCTCATTTCACAATTCAATCATCTGTTATATATAAAAAGATCAATAATATAATGTATCATTTTCTATGATGTGGAAAGATAGATAAAGTTAAACATGATGTTATAACTAAGTCGTACAATGAAGGTGGTTTGAAAATGATTAAAATGAATTCTTTTGTAACGGCTCTAAATGCAATGTGGATAAGGCGGATCTATAAAGAGGATGCTAGTTGGATGTACATTACAGATAAATGTATTGATAATTTCTCTTTAGCAAATTGTGGAATTCATATGAAGAATGAACAAATATATTTTGGAGAGATGTTATGGAAGCATGGTATCAAACAGTATCTTCGTCCAATATATACAATGAAAACATCTATTAAGTATTCTGTATGTTTTGATTCTGTTGCAGCATTTGAAACGTCATATCACTGAATTTACGCTGAAAAGATATTCCAGAGTATAGTATGTCTGTAAAGAATCGTATGTTTATTCCATAAAGGATATTCTTATGAACAACCAATCCTTGACAACCCTGTCTGTGGCTGAGAACTCAGAAAGCGTAATTCTGACGTCCATGACAGCTGTGGATGTGGACGCCGAAGACTCGCACACGTTTTCTATACTCACCAGGACTAACGCCTTCTTCGTCGTCGGGGATTCCATTAAGGTGATACTTTTGTTTTCTGTACATCAGCAATGAAATACATCTGAATATTAACTTAGGATATTGATAAAAAGTAAGATTAGACAACCTGTGAACACATTATAATAGTTAATTATTTATTTTACATATTAAAACGTTCACTTCTAAACTAACTTAAACAATATAAGAACACACTAACGGTATTATTTAATCACTATAGAATCCATTGAAGATTTATTCAAACTTTAGGTCATCATCAGCATCATTAGTTTTTAATGATTAGAATGTTTACTATTGTACTTCTATAAGATGTAATATTACTATGTTCGTTAAGGTCTCTCCTCAAGGTATCGACTATGAGCTATACCCTACACACGATATTGTAATCCGGGTGACCGACAGTGGAAACCCTCCACTCTACCTGGATAAACACGTTACTGTTAATGTCATTGACGTTAATGAGGCTCCTGACCACATCTTCCTGTCCAAAAACGAGGTACTTTTTTTTATAGAGGAATCGGACAACAAGCCACTTTTCTTCAGTATGAAATGTAACAATTTATCTGAATTTGGATGGAAGAAAGAGTGTTGTCTTTATTCTGAATTTGTATTAATGGTGCAAATACATGGTTGTTGCTCTGAAAACAATGTTTCTCTAATAGGCTTTATCTAGTGTTAGCCATGTAGTGTTTGTTTTCTTTTAATAGATACACGATATGTATAAAGTTGATATTTCATATTCATATTTTCAAATAATTTTGGAAAATTCATAATCGAAATATAATTCATCACCCTTGTACAGTGTTGTGGTAAGCTGTTAGAAGTCAATATTGATATAAGGAGTTGATGAAAGAGTCTGCATTATCCTTGATGTCAAGTTTACCTTGAAATAAAATTGAAGGAAATAGAATCGGCCGAGTTATGTACTAAAGGTCTGTGCTGTGCTGAATACCGCGTATATGTTACAAGATTAGTATCATAATGAATACATTGTATGATGCAAGGTACCTGAGGACAGTCCTGTCGGATTCGAAATAGGAACGGTGATAGTGGATGACCCTGACAACACTAGATCTACCACACAGACGTTCACCTACTCATTAAAGGATTCTGCTGATGATAGATTTAGACTCGACGGTGCCAGTCTTACGGTAAATAAACATACACATCATGTTTATGTTGTTATGTTTTTCCTCATATCTTACATCAACAATTCTTTCGAAGCATAACGGGTTTTTTTCTGTATTTTGCGGTTTTATGCTCGAGAACATATCAAATGGTGGAGAAAATCTTTGATCATTGAGTGTTGGCGAGAGCGAGTATTAGTATCAGGCAAACGGTAAATTACAAACCATGAAACTTATATTAAGAGGAAATTTTTTTCCAAGATTTTCCTTTCTTCCATGTCTCCTATGTAACGTTTACGGAAGAAAAATTCTTCTCGGATCTAGTGAAAATAAAAAATAATGTGAATTGCTCATCAAAACAGACGCCATCATCCTTTTCAGCAAGTATAGCCCCAGTGAGTCCGCCTTCTTTAATGTGTTTCTACATTTAACCATGAAGTACATCTACAAACCCTATTATAGAAGTACCCATACGTACACAGGGAAACCGTAATGAAAAACAGATATATAAATACTACTATAACAATACATAACATGACACTGAAATACAGACATGGACACATATATATATATATATATATGAATGACAAACAAAAGAAATATCATCCAAGTGTTACCGTTGTGTTATAGGTAGCAAGATCGGACTTCGACTATGAGAGAAAGCGTATGTACATATTACACGTCCTGGTGACTGATACCGGGATCCCTCCGCTGTCTACGAAGGCAGCCGTAACCGTTTATGTCACTGATGCTAATGATTCTCCAAAGGATGTGCAGTTAATTGGTAAACACTTTTGTACATGAATATTTTCACAAAGGGTGTCGTACACGTTATTTTGGTGAGGAAAACAAAAATATAATTATTAATCTTATTTCAACGTGATTATTAACACCAACCAGTAGATGAAATGATATTGAGTTGTTTTATTGGTCATTTGACTGATTGTGCACAATATAACGCTTTTTGTTATAAATCCTATAAGAACGGAACACTGTATGATACGGTCACATTTATTTTGTTACTCTATTGTATCTGATTCTGAATGTTAAACGTTTGTACAATCATTAAGCAACCATGGATTTTTTTACTGCGTATAACGTTTATTAACACATGTTGTGGGGTTGAAGGTGGAGTCGTACCTGAGAATTCTGCGATGGGAACAGTCGTTGGGAGTTTTTTAGCGACAGATGATGACTTTGATCAGCAGATCACCTACTCCCTGCTTTCTAATGACTTCTTCACTGTTGCTGGAGACGAGTTGATGGTAGATGGAGAGCTTGACTATGAAAGTTCTCCAACAATAGCTTTAGGAGTTATAGCTAGTGACGATGGCTTGCCTCCCATGTCGGTAAGTCAGTATGCAAATGGACTCTTAATTACTGGAACAATATATATATCAAACAGACGTTAAGATCAAATATAACTTATCAATAATCTATGAAGCTGTTACAAACATCAACGTATCAATTATTGCAGCGTACATTTGTACTGAGTATGCTTGAACTGAACCATTTCCCCAAATAATGGATAAAATCGCCTTAAAGCGAAAAGATATATCATGAAATTAAAATTGCTTTTATCGAGAAAAAGAAAGCACATTCATCACAAAGCAGAACTTCACGATGTCAAATAAATACTTTTACATTCCGGATAGTGTTCAAAACGTGCAGATAGTTACTTGATAAATTAGCACGTTCTTGATGTTTATACTTTATGTTAACAGGACGGTGATAGAAGTTAACTATGTACATGTTTATACTTTATGTTAACAGGAAGGTGATAAAAGTTAACTGTGTACATGTTTATACGTTATGTTAATAGGACGGTGATAGAAGTTGACTATGTACGTGTTTATACTTTATGTTAACAGGACGGTGATAGAAGTTAACTGTGTACATGTTTATACTTTATGTTAACAGGACGGTGATAGAAGTTAACTGTGTACATGTTTATACTTTATGTTAACAGGACGGTGATAGAAGTTAACTGTGTACATGTTTATACGTTATGTTAACAGGACGGTGATAGAAGTTAATTGTGTACATTATCCATGTTTATATTTAATGTTAACATGACAATGATAGAAGTTAACTACATGTTTATTCCGTTCAGATTTCTATGAATGTGACGGTGACCATAGTAGATGTTAACGAGGCTCCTGTAAATATTACATTACAAACCTCAGACAAAGCACCGGGCATGATGATTCCGGAGTCACTAGGACCAGGGGAACTCATTGGATTCATACATGTCACAGACCCCGATCTAAACGACAGGATAACACTGAAGCAGATCGGCGATATGGCAGCTATGTTTAAAGTGTCACAGAATCCACAGTGCAAAAACACACCAATGGTATTTATGTGCAGCTTATATACTTGTATATTGCAAATTAAGATCATATATAATTGTTCAACAGTTTTTCTGCTTTGATATTCTGTTCTTTCCCTTATAAAAGTTTTACGACCGTCTGCTATCATTGCTTGCCAAATATAACATCAAGTGAAGGTCCTCGAAGAATAGTTATTAAATGTAATTTTCTCTTCTTCGCTGGACGAATTTTACAAAAGACGACTGCTCGGTGAATAACTGCACTTTTTTAAAATAGATTAAAATTGAATGCTGTAGTGCCAAATAATAGATAAAACTACATCATACAGCTGTTTCGTCCTTCTAGGAATCGTCAGCAGTGATAAGGGTCTGCATTTTGAAAAATAAGAAGAGACTGAAGAACATGCAAAGTGACCGTAAGATAATTTAGAAAGGGAAGTTTATTAGACTCGTATTTAAATAACTCAGAACTTATCTACTTGTCTTACAGTTGAACCATCACACAGAGTGCAGGTTCGATTTGATTTTAGCACAGTCAGTCGATTTTGAAGGTAACAACAGCAACATAACTGTCGAAATTGAAGCATCAGATGTAAGTGGAGAGACTCTCAACACAACTTGGAAGTTCGGTATAAAGAATAGCAACGAGCCACCCTCGGTAAGAAGATTACTTTCTATTGACTGGTTTAATGGGTGCAATTCTTTTGCAAAATAATTATAGTTAAATCAAAGCCTGTGGTACCATTTTAAACCATTCGTTCTTCATAAATATTTAAGAAAGATTGAACATAAGACGCACACGTGAATAGCACCCTTGAATTCATATCTATAACTAGATACATTAGATAGAGAGATGTGCTAGACCCTTAATTCAGTTAAAGTTCTTTCTGATTTTCTCTTACAGTAAAACGTGTTAATAACGAATTCCGTGGAACCACTGGAAATGATTCGATAAAATTAGTTTGAGGATTTTCAGTTGTTTCTTTTAAAGTTATATCGACCGTACTTGTATTTCAACTTACCTAATTTTAAGCAAGTCCAAATCTCACAAAAATTTGAAGACAGGTGTCAAACTATTCAGTCTTTTAAATTTCATTTGAGGAAACTTTCAGATGACAGTCGTTTGTCTTTCACTGCTTTTGAGACTCTCTCCAGCAACTTCACTGTTAAGTACTGGTTTGTCATCAACATCATCTGATTCGTTTTGAACTGCAGTTGGAGCTATAACTCGATTGTTATCAAGGCCATGAGATGTCACGACAATATCGTCAATAGTGACAGCAATGTATCATTACCGACGTAATACTCGTCGTCCGAGGTGTCTTGAATGACAGAAAACTTATGGCCAAAAGGGACACCAACAAAAGAACGAAGTTTTAATTTAGTCAACTAAACAATAGTGAACACGTTTTACTACTGACTTGCCTATCAGTACAGCTTGTACTTTTAGTTACCGATCAATCCATTAATAGTTCACAGACATCTATATGTGAGTGGTTTAGTCCAATTACACAACTCACATTAACATGTTCACCTATTCATATAAATCACTCATATTGGATCCCAACTTTCACGTTTAAAGCGAGGCTAAAGACAAGACTTTCCGAGAAATTCGATATAGGTGCAAGTATTCTCGACAACAGGACGACGATATTACTTCGTGTCAAATGAAACCTTCTTATATGCAAATTCTTTATACGTCACCGTAAGAAGTAGTAAACACCCAGTTGAATGATTTTATCTACTTCGTTATAGGCGGAAATTCGTGTCAATTCTGTTCGTTTTACTACATATATATTTCAAAAGTACATGCAGTGCATGTTTAAAGAAGACAACTATTCATCTTTACTGCCTTTGTTTCAAATAGTAAATCATTTATTTGTTAAAGTGGAAAGTATAATTCATTTATTTTCAATTTGTATGAAATGCATTGATGCCGAAGTCTCTTTACGGAAAGACGAACGAACATTTCGAAAGCTTTGTTGTACTCGCTGTATAACGGGCGTAGGCTATCAAATTGATTTTTTAAAGTATCATCATGCCATCACTTCAACGACAAAGTAAATTTCAATTTTAATACTAATACAACTGTTACTTTTTGTACCATTTGTTTTGTAGAACATTTTCATTGACGGAGACATAAAAATAATACCAGAAAATTCACCGGAGTTCTTGATAGGTAGCTTAAACAGCGAGGATGAGGATGAGGGTGATGAGTTTGTTTATCATATATTAACACACTGGGAGATATTCCGGATTACCAATAACCGGTTAGTCGCCAAACCTCCACTTGACTACGAGGTTGACCGATCTGTCACCGTTAGCATCAGATGTACAGACAGCGGGTCTCCACCACTGACATTCACCAAAGAGTTCATTTTTGATGTGGGGGACAAAAACGAGGAGCCAACGAATATTGTGTTGTCCCATACGGAGGTAACTTGAAGCCAATTCATGGTAACGTCGTTATGTTACGCCATCGGGAATATTTAATATATTTGATTTTAATCAGGTAACTAACACAGCCGATCGGAGTTATTACTCCCACGCGTTTATGAAGCAATCATTCGTCAGCGATTTATTCAAATGTCACATTTCATCATGTTAGAAATGCATTACAATGCGCAAATCATTCGGGTACATTTTTTTCTAGAATAGACAGCACGCTTCCTAGTTTTGTATATGTAAGCTTTTTGTGAACAAAAATGTCCCGTACATGTTGATATTTTGTTTCCAAAGGTGTCTAATACCGCCTCTCCTGGGGATGTGGTTGGATTCATAACCGTGAAAGACCCCGACAACCAAGGTTCGGACACACCTGTCCAAGTCCATACATGTACTGCTGGAGGGGACGCATTGGGATTCTTCAGCACTGAGCTGTCCGCACCACTGACTTTGAAAGTATGTATATGAGTATATGAGAGTTTGTTTTGTTTTGGTTTTTTAAATAATAATATTTAAAACAACATATAATTTCTTACATTGTATGACACTGTTTGGCACATAGTATACAAAAATGTCTATATTTTATTAGTTAAGAAGAACCATTTGTTTCATTTTAAGGTACAAATAATAGATTAGAATTTGTTTGATAAAAAGCATAAAAATAAAACCATTCGTGTTGCTTTCCACCTGAATATAATGTCAATGCTATATTTTATGCAGGTGACAAAGGCTATACCAAAGGATATATTTGAAATGCTGTTACTTTTGACATGTAAAGACAATGGTAATCCAGTATTGTCTCTCACTGTGAACGTCACACTTACCATCCACGAAACTGTTGATATACAAAAAAACCTACGCCTGAGAAATCAACGTACGATTCCGGAAAATTCGGATGCATATTTTGTTGTCGGCGACCTCGAGGTGGTTAATATGCTCACTGAGGAGGTGATTGGGGGTGTAAGTAACTTTTGTAATATCGCATTATCAACCTATGAAGATACTAGGTGCTTGTTTGATATTATACATATGATTATTTTACCTCCACTTTCCATTTTGGAGGTATGTATTAGCCACTTTGGGTTCATTCGTACGTACAAAACCTGTTCAAGATAGTTCATGAACCCCTCATCAGGTTCCTATTCACACCATACCATCACGTTCTACACATGAATAAAGTTTGGTGTTCATTGGTCAAACCTATAAATAGATGTTTGAAATAAAAAGTTCTCATGAACCTCTCTACAGATTGAGTTTAAAATAAAGGACCCAATCCGCCAGTATAGCTCACCTATAATTAAATGCTTACCAAAACTAAAATCGATACTCATCACAAATGCATTAAGATGTACACCACTGGCATTCAATTTGGGCACATCCAATCAATTTTAACCAATTTCCACAAAAAGAGCTGGTTTTAATGCAAATGTCATTTCTTGTTTGTTCGAAATTGGTCAGACTTTTATCTAGAAACATCTATACAACAAATATCTTGCTTCTAGGACTTTTGATTCAGCAGAAGAAGTCTTTTTCAGAATTTGACAATTCAACCCCTTTAATCTGTAATATTGTTCAAGGTCATTTCATAACTTGCTTTATCTCAGAGGCCTTGCTGCCAACCAAATGTGCTTCGACGCTGTTTGGTTGGTAAGAAGAAGTCGTATAAATGTTTTATCAAATTCTACTCTTACGACCTTAAATAAAGATCAAGGTAATTTCTTTATCCAAATCTTTGTCTGGCTTCATTCAAGGAACATGTAATCACAATACCATGTTCGTACTGGCCAGATGAGCTCATAAAAGTATCAATGTTTGGGGGGATACGTCTATAGAATTCCCGGCTCATTTCGTTATTATTATTATCATTATTTTACAAAATCACTGTTTTATTTGTAGACGTACACATACGCCTTGAGCAACGATCAGCATCCGTTCATTACAAATGGACCCAGTTTACAGACATCTATATCTCTCGACTTCGAGCAACAGGCAGAATGGGAAATAAATGTCGTGGCTTCCGGTGTGGATATTCAGAACAAAGACGTCAACATCTCGGAAACGTTTGTTGTAAGTAATAACGCCATTTTAAATGGATTTTTAATGAGATTTCACTGAATATCTAGTCCAATCTCCCAAATGTACAATTTTCCGACGGAAAACGTTCAATACGACCCACCTGTTGCTGTAAATGAGACTTGATAATAATAATAATATGTATGGTCGTCTGATGGCTGCATTTATCAGCTTTGTGTTTAGCTTCGACTGACCAGTTCATCTTGCTATTAAGGTGATTTTTTATTGCCTTTGAATGTTCGATGATGACAATGCTATGTTGCATTTCCGACGACATGTTAGCAGTGATCCAAAGATTGGTTTTAACTAAAGTTGAAAATGATCTGACATGACAATGTTTTTATTCAATTAAACTGTTCTAAAAACCGTCACAGCCAAAATAACTTCGTTAAGTCAGGACATCTCCGCTATAGATACTATATCGTTTACTTAGATAGAAGTCGGGGACATCAATGAAGCTCCCTACAAAATAAACATATATGGAGGAGGGTTGATACTAGAAAATAGTGAGCCAGGAACAGAGATTGGAGATCTTAACTCCGAGGATCCTGACGAAGATCAAACGTACAGCTACACGATTATTTCTGTATCTTCCGGGTAAGTCGTTTGGGATACCTAGTAATGGTGTTTCCAGCATTTAGAGTATGCACTTTCGGTTATTTCTTGCTATTTGAAGAATGTTTAAAAAGCAATGTCTTCAAAATTCTTGTATTTTTTAATCACAATGAAAATTGTTTACTCCAACAAACAAATAAGGCTGATGCGAACGAGATCGGTTTACTTAAGTTAGTATACAAAGCAATAACATCATTGTTTGTAATTTGATGTGCTAGTACAACTTGGAAGAAGGGCGTGTCATTGTGTAAATATCTTCATCAATCGCCATTTTCATTATCCCCATAACGCAGGAATTTATTAAAATAATTTCAAAACAATAAATCTGCTGTTGCGAAATTTCTGTATTGCTCCGAAATGATAAAAAACTGAAAAATACTTGCGATTTCTTTGCATTGCAGATTGGATATGTCTGAAGCTCGACAAGAACTAACGGATACATTCTCATTGCGCGGGAAAACGCTAATAGTAGGGAGAAATTCGGAGCAACTAAATTATGAAGTGGTGAAGTATTTCACTGTATTGATACAAACAACAGATTCCGGCAATACCCCGTTGTCATATAATGACACAATTCACATCCAAGTGGAGGATACGAACGATGTTCCAACAGGCATTCTCCTGTCAAAACAAACGGTAAGATATATCAAAAGTCATCGTTTCTCCACTGTATCTGTACAGTATTTATACAACGTGAACAACATGTTTTGTCAGTCAGTCCCTCACATAGTAACTCACTCTGTCGTAAGGTTGTACAAAAGATACACGAATTATTTGAACCTTTCAATATAACTAGTTGATGATTAGGCACAGGCGAATAGATAACTAAATAATGAAATAAAATGTAAAGAGCAACTGCTTCATCTTTCTTATACTCGTCAGTGATCATAAAAGCCTCAATTGATGAAACCTAGGGGGCAAATGAGGTACAGTAAATAACACAATGTAATACAAAGTTTGATCAAATCTAGTAGAGAAAAAACATGGAATTAAACTGCATCACACTACTGTTTCGTCCTTCTTGGACTCATCACTGATGCTAAGGACCTTAATCTGTTAAATCTAGGAGGCAGCTGAGGAAAACCCAAAGCAATCAATAAAAATGTGAAATCTGAATGAAGAGGTGCACTAGAAAATTCAGAAATTGCAAAATTGGTTGCATAAATGACAACATTCATTTGCAAATATGTTAAGCGTTTGGTAATGCAAATCAAAACAACACAGTGAGGAAGAAACTAAAACCGTCTTGCCTATTTTTAGGTAAAAGAGAACAGTATTGTTGGAACAGTCGTTGGAAAGTTGGACCTTATCGACGAGGATGTATCATCGTCTTACACATGTGTGGTCATAAATCTCCAGAGCGTCCCTTTCAAGGTAGCGCGCTCTAAAATCTAAAATCGTGTGTTCATAATTGACGAATGATGATAGGTTTTTTAACATCTTTGAATATGATATACTTGTTAAGTGTCGTCTTCCAAAACATCACACAATGCCGCATAGCCGGCTATTAACGTGATCGCGAAAATTTAATCCAAGAAATAAAGAGACTCGTATTTGTTAGATTTCCTTTTACATCCAGATCGTTAACTTTAAACACATTAAAATATAATTCGATCGTTTTCCACAAAATCGCGAAAATTTTGACTCGTGAAAATTAACATCTTTACGGTATCTGCTGAATATGATAATGGTGTTTTGTGAGTTTTTATATCAAGTCTAGGTTATCTATAGTTTTCATTCCTGACAAAAGTTTAAACTTTATCTGTGTAAAAGTATGTATAACGATTTTTTTGTTGATTCCAGGTAGTGAACGACTCTATTCTTGTAACAAGCAAGGCCGAATTGGATTATGAAGGTTCAAGGGTCTTCGCCGTTGAGGTTGGTGTATGGTGACGTCACCATGCTTTTTGTGATTATTTATTCAGCTCCGTTTATCATTTAATATAGAAACGCGTTTTTTTTTTTCAATTTGGATTGTTTGTATATTTTATCATGAAAAAAAAATGGTTTTTGATTTTTTTTTCAGATACAGTGTACTGATGAAGGGATAGATGAAACACATCTTACGATAATTAAGACAATTGTTGTCAATGTTACAAACATTAACGAACCACCAATTCGTATCGAAATGACCAACACTGATATAGTGGAAAATAACCAAGAAGGACAGGTCATTGGGGAAATCAAAACTACCGATCCAGACAGCAATAAGGTGTTTGTAATCAAAATATTTATAATTTTATTATTCATTATTTCTCTTTTTCATTTTTTTTTTTTTTACTTATTTTTGTTTTGATTTAAGGAGATTTGTCAATTGTTATTACAGCACGAGTGTCTATTACTCCACACAATTACCATGCGGAAACAGAAATATGTTATAAGGGTTGGCCGAATCAACATACTTTTATCTTCTAGGTGAAAATAACGTTAGTGAATGGTGATGAATCCTCCGTTTTCTCTGTGGAAGGTGACAGTACCATTGTCGCAAGTAAAGCGTTGAACTTTGAGGAACAGGCAGAGTACGAAATCACTGTAAGAGCTACTGATGATAAAGGTCTATGGTCCGAGGAAACCTTTCAGATTGAGGTAGACACATTGATTTTTTTATAGAATGATTTTAAATTGATGCTTACTTTGTCTTTTCATGAATGCAAAGAACTACAGGGCGAGACATATCAAACAAGATAAATCAGCCGAACTTAAAAATGTTAAATTCAACAAAAGCCCTTTTCATGAATATGATTGTTTAATTTGCAATGGTCAACAATTTTGGTAAAGCTACATTTCCCTAGCAGATTTTTGTCATAATGCCAGCACATTAAAATAATTGTATAGGTGCAAGACAAAAACGAACCTCCGTCATCCGTAGTACTTGACAGCGAGTCTGTGAATGAGAACACGGGTCCAGGTTATACTATCGGCACACTTACCACATTGGATGATGACCATGGTCAAAATTTCCATTATGTCATTGTAGACGATCAAGCACAGGCGACACAGGGTACCGTATTTTCCCTCGTAATGTCTGTATTGCTGTGGTTTCAGTTCAATACGAATTAATTGAAAATAGATATCTATATCTTCGTAATCAAGGCTTGTTATACGTCACACTTTAACTAGGAAAATCATTAATAAAATATGGGTTTTAGAAATAAATTGTCAAATTTATGTGGAGAGCACCATTGATATCATCTCTCGCTCAAGTCTCATCTAGTTATACATTTCTTTGAAGTTTCCAAAATCTTTTTAAAGTTTGGGAAGTATTTGTAAATCAGAAAAGAATGAGTGAATATACATTGGTACTTCATGGCGTATCATGCATACATGTAATTTATTTCAGACTATTTCCAAATAAAAAACGATAAGTTGGTAACGGGTGGGAAGCCTTTAGATCACGAGATGTTATCCGAATATACTATTGGCATTAAAAGTACGGACAATGGTGTTCCTCCTTACAGCGTACAGGTAAACAAGTATATAACTTTTATAATGCATGTTTATCATATATCATTGACTGATCTCTTTTTGTCGTCAAATAACCTGATTTCTTCAGTAATGGTTTGTATGTAATTTGTATTTGTTTTCTTTAATGCCAGAAAAGAATCATCGTATCAATATACATTCAGAGTGATAGAATTGCGTGTCGACAATGTGGCATATTCTGTCTCTTTTCGTAAAGCATACTTTGTAATCCCGTTGTATTGTAGACGAAAATCAAGATAAAGGTAGATAATATAAATGAAGAACCAGAAGATATCATTGTGGATGCGATGCTCTCGCTGCCTGAAAATACTAATATCCCAGCCGTTGTTACGTCTGTGGATGTCGACGATCCAGATGTTGGACAGAACCACATTTGCCAGGTCGAGCCGGCGTCTCTTCCCTTCATTATAAAGACATATGCTGATCATCGCATGGAGTTGGTATTGAACGGAGCCCTGGATTACGAAACAAAAGAGGAATATGACGTTGTCCTTCGATGTTCAGATGGATTTCTAGAAAGGAAAAAGGTTTAATAGCACTTTGCGTTAAAATTCTTGTAAAATCATGATCATTATTGTAATCAAGTTTGAATAAACAAGAGTTAGATATCCAACGAGAAATTCCAGGAAAGAAGAAAAATTAAGAAATATTTTTACATCCGATTGTAATTGTAAGACATCGTGACGTCATAACACGTTATTTTACTGGACAAAGTTTATTGATTGAATGAAATCATTATCATGAAGTCGTAAGCAGTTCTGTGACAACTGATGATAATTCATTGTCTTGTTGAATCAGTCTTGTGTGTTTTTACGTAGTCTATACCAGTTCTGGTGTCCGATGTCAATGAGCGACCGGAGGAGATCCATTTGAGTGGTAGTGGGTCAATAGTAGCCAGTGCACAACCTGGAGTTGTTGTGGGAACCTTCTCGGTACAGGACCCTGATCCCAATCAGACGCACACACTGACCATGACAGGCCCTAACTCCGATTTGTTTCAGGTGCGGAGGTTTCGAAGCCTTAATGTAGCATGATTTAGAAACACTTTGCAAAGTTTGGGAATGACCACGGAACAATTCTGGAACACGATGTTATTTAGTAAAATTACAGTTTTGATCTTTTTTACAACAGATCAATTGAACAATATTGGTCTATTGTTTTTTTTTTGTTTTTTTTTGTCCCAATCCAGCAGTTTCCATTCAGTATTAATTACATATGATTACACTTGAGTCATTTCTTGATACGCTTCTATTTCAGATCGAAGGGTACGAAATCACACTAACATCATCTCTTCCGGATGAAATCGTTTACGCTGAGCATCCTGTTATCACTATCAATGTTACAGCCACAGACAATGGAATGCCGAAACCTTTGTCGGTCCAGCAGATATTTACACTTGTCGTTACTGATGTACAAGTCGTTGTCCAGCAATTGCCTGTGATCACTCTTAGAAAGGTGGACCTACTTGAAGACTCGAAACCTGGGAAGATCATTGGGTCATTACTGAAAGCAAATGTTTCCACTGAGGATATCGAATTCAACATCATTCTGAATCCGTTTGGAGCGTTTAAGATTTCCAAAAATAAAAGCTTAATTCTTAATCAAACTTTGACGGACGTTGACGGTGATTCAATGAAGTTAACTGTAGAAGTGAAAAACAAAGAGACGTTCAAGTCAGCCGCCACCGATATAATGATTTTCATTGTACGTGTGGACAAATGTGCAAGACGAGGCAACGAGACTTGTGACGAGCATGGGCGATGTGTTCAACAGAATGATGCCTCGTATAATTGTGAATGCGAGACAGGATACACTGGGGATGGCTTCTACTGCACACTTGATACAAACTGTGACGCTAATCCTTGTACCAATGGCGGACGCTGTGTTGATGGCATAGCCGCAGCTACCTGTCTTTGCAAAGACGGATACTCAGGGCCCCTGTGTGAGGTAGACAACAATAAAAACAATCCCTGTTTTAAAAGCCCATGTAAGCATGGTGGTATTTGTTCACTGAACCATAAACTTTCGACAGGATATGAATGTGAATGCGAACCGGGATGGAAAGGTAGCACCTGTGAAGAAAGTATTAACGACTGCATTGACTTTCTTTGTTATGGTGGGGGACAATGTGTGGACAAACATATGACGTATGTATGTAAGTGTCCTGAGGCGAGAAACGGAATTAGATGTGAATACTTCCGGTCTTCATGTGCAACAGTTTCATGTGGTTCTGAGATTTGTGTTCCGATGGTTGATAAAGATGAAAAGATCTGTGCTAGCAAAACGAGTAACTTGGTCCATTTGCAAGTGAAGAAAAGCCAGGGCAAATTTGACGAGGAAGAATTCAGTGCATGGCTTATTGACACAATTACTGCTTTTTATCGTCGTTCTGCCAGCGGATCTAATAACAAACCTCGGGTGAAGCGACAGATCGTAAATGAAACACCAGTACAAGTATATATAGCAGATGTGCAAGAAGAGGCAACTGCTGATCTGGTTAAAGTGGACTTTGTCGTTCTAGATAGCTCAGAGAAGGTGTACGAAAAGAATGAAATCTTGGGGATCTTGTCAAACACATGTGACGAACTGAGTAAGTCTAATCTATTTATTTTCCATTCCTTTTCGTCTGTGTAGACATTTTATAAAACTTTTAAACATTATCAGCGCTAACATAATATAGATTGATGTATTAGTATTAACAATGTAGAGTGTTGTATATCATCGGTTTTTTCAGGGAAAGATCAGAATGACGAAACAGTGTTGTGCCCAGCTGTTAGTAGGGCGACAGGTAGTGACCAGGTGGAGGATGTAGACGAGACAGGACCACCGGTGGCAGCTATAGCAGGAGCAGTTGCAGGTAAAAAAACGCACCTAAGGTGGAAGCATAGATACCCCTTTGGCATTTGTGTGCTTCTTTTCAGGTCACTAACTTATTGCAAAAAAACAAATAAAATCCACACAAAAAAAATCGATTTTAGCAAAATATAATGTAGACAGGAAGGTTAATTCGTATCTTGACTGTAAACGAATTGTTGAGTAACTTATTTACAAATTGATTCAGCCTTTTACAAATAAATGTACATGATTCAAATGTTCCATTCACCATTAGGTGTTGCTGTATTGGTCGGTGTTGCGGTGGTAGCTTTCATCATATATCGGAAAAGGAAGCAGAACGGAGATAACTCGTACAAGGACACTCTTCGGTAACTGGTAGGTATGCTATCAGATATTGTAGGATTTGTTACATGAACAGTGGTAGTTAATCCGTTTCTTTTTTATTATGCACAAACTTTGCACGACCAGCCGTTCTCGTCACAAATTTGATCAGATATGAGACTTCGTTAGGCTTATGTTATAAAGTCTGAAAGTTACGTAAGATTGTAAAAAGTATACAAAGTTTTAATCGTCTTTCAATACAAGATTTAGAATTAGATACAACAGAGCCAAATAATGAGAGGTGCTCGGTTTACTAGTCACACGGTAAACAAAGAGAAATTCAATTTAAAACCTAGCTTCTACTTTACCTCGAGCCATTCATTTAATGGTTAAAACACAACAAAGTGATACACACAGCTAATATCATGATGTATGTAATATTCACGTGTGAAGCTTCACAATACACGACTGTAAAATACAGTCGAATGAGGTTCGATTCATTGATATCTGCGTAAGGGATGCACTTTACAAGTTTACGTAATTGTCTTACGTTGTGCGAATTGTTCCTAATAAAATTGTTTGCTATATCTATATAAGACATTTTTCCAGTTTGATTAAAATGCCATTCTTCTTTGTCATCTGTTCAGTTTCTCGAGTAGAAGACACTATCGGTGGAAATTTGTTCCCCAAAGTCTAGCGTAACCTGCCTGTCATGCTTTACTTTATTAATTAACGGCACGGTTCAGATTATAGACCAATACTTTGAAATCATTCGGTATATGAAAATCACAAATAACGAAATTTATTAAACTATGGGGCCATCACGACCACCCAATATCCAGTTAACCATGATTAATGTTTTGTAATACATACTTCGTTTAGCAGAAAGCTTTAATTCCGCAATGAAGTAGTGCTCACTTTTTATAGTGTATACCTTTAAACAACAAACAGTAGGTTTTGCAGCATGACAGATGACGTTTGTAAAGCGGATATATAGATTACTAGAATACATTTTAAAAAGTTTTACGAATTTTGTTTTCCGACTATCGTGAAATATAAAAAAGCGCTATCGGCATACCTTTTGTAATTTTTCCTTATTTTTCATATCGACAGGCAATCCATAAACAGTGCACTTGCCTTCAGTTATAAAACATTGTGGCCCGATTGAGTATAAGCACAAAGGCATTGTTTCTTCTTTCATGTAGTTAATTTAGTAACAAGCAGAGTCATAGTTTGTGAGAGATGGTGTTCCTTTCTCCATCGCTCCACGGCCTTCTCTGACAAACCTCAATATGTGTCGTCTTTTTAACCCCACTGCTAAAAATGACCGTTAAATAAAACCCCACTAAACCCATGTATCTTGAATCACGAATTTATGCTGATGTTAGCTAAATTATTGCTGACCAACACAATCCGTAAATCAATACATACTTACTTTATATAGGAATAGGTACATAGATAATACGTATATAGAACACATACAACTGTATACTGCGTAATTTAATGTGAGGAAATCTTCCTGGTCAGTTTGTAAAGTAATCCTACTTCACCTACTTATAGTGTCCAATGTCTTGCCAAATCAGTGTAAATCTTATTAACTAAAGATACACATTAGGTCAGATAATAAATAATCGATCAAAGGTACATTTATAACTTTTAATGAAGAAGTTTCTGCTATATTTTTTTAATAATTTGATGCTATTTCCCTATAAGTCATCTGGCAACAACATCTTACCTTTATCAACCGAATTAACTGATTCAAATTATATATTCTTATATTTGTGGTAGTAATTCGATGTTGAATGTTTTAATTCACTTTCCAAACAGCAACAAATACAAAAACGATTGATAATCCATCTATCGTTAATACTACAACTACTACTAATAATATGTTTTGCTTTAATCCCAATTTCATTTGCATTTCATTTCAGATACAATGATGCTGTGTGATGATGACAATCTTATATCAATTTTAAGTATTTTGCCATATAAACCGCACATTGGATGACGATTCGTGTTTACAAGAACGATAGAATTGTTAATAAATTAATAAATTAACAACTTCAAAGCTGGTGTTTTAATGATTCTCTAAATACCTGTGTATATCTATACTAGTCAGGGATAAATTGATCACTGCTGCTTGTCTACATTGTGTTATTATATGGTGTTTATTTAAGATCGAATATGGCCCCATTTCCCAGCGAGTTAATGGCAGCAGTTTTTGACGTCATTTTAATAGGCGGCATGTATTGTCATTCTATTGACAAATATAAATCCAACTCTCATTTCCTTGCCTTGTAAGATGTACTTAAATGTTGGTTTTGTCCTAGGTGAATACGTATTGCTGATCATTATTGCTTCAATGGATTGTTCAAAAGTCTTTTTAAAAACGAAGTTTACACAGGAAACATTAAACGCCATTTTTTCCAAACCTGTACAGCAACAGACTTTTTAACGCTGGATAAACTCAGTCCCAGAGGTTTGCCGTATCCTACATGCCAAGTCTTAATTCATTCAAATACTAACACGGTTTGGAATGTGCAAATTAACGTGACGTCCTTCTGAAATAATCAAATATATAAAAATTTTCGAAATTTAATGAATTATTGGACAAGTGCACCTCCCCATCTTAACTTTCACATTTCTTTTTGATCAGTTCGGATTTTCCTCAGTCGCCTCTTAGGCTTCAACCTGTAGGCCATTAGCAGCATCACTTAGGAGTCCTAGAAGTACAAAACAGCTGTAAGCTGCATCTTAATTCTTTAGACTCAACTTTGTGCAATTCTAAATTTGTATTAAAAGCACTACTCACTTGTGTGATTTCTAAATTTGTATTAAAAGCACTACTCACTTGTGTGTATTTTGTACAATCTTGGTCATACTGGCATTTCAAAATGCCTCAAAAATAATGAGAGAGAAAAGTTAGAGTCCGAATGTATTGTAGAAATGAATCTTTATTGGCAGACATAATAGACACAGGAGAATGGTGATGGGCGGTAGACAATACAATGGTTACAGACACCGTGGGCGACCATTCTACCCCAGACATATTAGGGATCTATTAACAAAGCATATCAAATAACTCAATTACATCATGGATTTCATTATTTAACTCTATTTGATAACCTTTGTTCCCTTGTCTTTAACCTCATTTTATAATTTAATCAATAAGAAGACCACAATATACATTTAAACGACAATCTTTAAAAGGATTTATATATTTGTTTTCTTGTATTATCATATATCAAAAAGACTATTAAGAATTTCCTGGATTATCTTTAGAAATAAATTATTTAGACAACGATGGTATTTAAAAGACAATAGTTTCACCTGTAACCTCACCTGTTTAAACAGGTAAATCTGTAACATATTAAACATGCAAGCGTATACATTTACAGCACAAGCGTCATCTAATCATGCTATATTTACAGCTTGAGTCACTCTAATGGCAGTTGACTAGTAAATTTATATACAGCTACATAATTTACTACAACCTCTTTCTGACAAAACCAAAACTGTACATGTTATAAGTATGCATAAATAATTTTAAATAATGAACTTCATCAATTATGTCTTCCGTTTTTCAATTCGTTACGAAATACACAATGAATAATATTGAATAATAAAAATATGTTGTTCTGACACCTATTCTCGCATATATAAATTTTATGAACAAGTGACCCAAAGGGTCTGATTCGCTCACCTGTTTGTTGACCATTTATTGCTTTTATGAATTAAGAACAAGATTATGATCACTGGCGACCACAAGTTGATTAAAATTGTATATCTGTTTGGAATTTCATTTTCCATTGCTCTGGTTCTAAGTGATTTTTAATGGTTTTGAATTCTGACTGAATCACACTTAAAATAACCACAATTCTATACCAAAATCTATCGACTTCCATTTATATCTAAGAAGATTCCTTTAGAACACTGACGAATGGGTGTTGCTCCTTGGCATGAACATACCAGGCTCTTTGTAGCCATAGCAGTATATAAATGGCTGCATATTGAATTATTTCAGAATTAATTTCCATGTACATGTAAAATCTCCCATTAGTCTACAAAATATTCAGCATCCCTTTTCAATATTTAATTTCCCGTAGAAAACTTCCCTTTTTACGATTAGAATTTTAGAAAAGAAAAAAATAATAATAAAATGATATATAAATATATCATATACTTAAATACATGAATGAACTTTTAAGTCTTCTGAATGATGGATTGTGAGTCAAAATACAATACTACTATATAAGGAAGGAACATAGATGCACTGGAATATCTACTCCTGGACTTTGGCACATCACAAATTATATCAACTCACTAGGACAACTAAGCAAGTGAATTATTTTACCTAAACATTGACACCCATTGACTTATCTATCCAGTACAATATACCTTAAACTGGACTATATAATATCACTGCTATGTCATGTTTTCAGATCATTGATTTTAAGTGTTAAATGTATTATCAACATTTTCATTTGCAATAGAAGAATTAATTCAAGAAAGGAGAATTATCTGTATGTGAAATTCACAGAATTCATAAAATAAAGAGTATTGAAATTAAAAGATCTCAAATCAAATTGAGATTAAAGAGATTCTTTGTTTCAATCAACTGTCTTTTAATTGTATCTGCCTTAAAGCAGCGCTATGTATAATAATCTGCTTAAATCTAAGGCAAACGAATTTGCAATTTCTTAGGAGGATGACACCCCTGCTGTAACTACTGTATAAACCGTTTCAGGCAGTAGTGTCAGATTAACACCTTTATAGCCACCATCCATTTTTGTCCACCGCACACACAACATCAACATGTTAAGACTCATTTCCATTTGTGTACATAAGTGAATATATGTATATATATATATATATCCAATAATGCATTTGCAAACACAGACATAGGTTTATCAGATATGTAGTGAACCAATTATGCAAGACAATCCTAGCAATTCATTTCAATATCAAATTTGTTGACTAAGCTCTGACAGAAACTTTATACAAATCTGATTTTAAAACATTATAGAACCAATATTCTTGAAAAAAATGTTTCCCTGCTATGACCCTTGATAAGCAAATTGATGCAATCAAATGACAATAGAAGTATGAACAATCCTCCATATAAAATCTTAACAATACAGCAAGCAGGAAATCCTTTTATCATCTTTTCCCTTAATATAGTATGTTCTTTATATACTAACTTTAATACCAGCAATTAACCAAAACCTTTTCAGTATGAAGACTTATGAACATGACAGAAAGGAAATGGGGATTTTTTTATATTCAAGAATAAATTATCATCCACATTTTCTTAAGATTTCATTGTCTTTCTATCATAATATTTCTTGAATAAAATAAAACCCTCGTCTAAATGGACAATAGAATTAATCATGATTCTCTGATCATCTTGATTTCATACTTACAAAAGTGAAATTATAATACAAATATTGTCAGAAAGTAGCCACACTGCATAACAAACTGAACAGTTTTAGATACATCATCAGAAAACACTATCAATATAGATATGCTTGTAAAACAAGCCAGATCTCACTGATATATAAGCATGGTCTGAAGTCATTCTATTAAAAACCAAGAAAATAATGATACCTTTGTTTCTATGTCAAAACAAACAAATCAAGAAACAGATGAAATTTTACAGAAATTGCTGAGTATTTAAGTTAGTGTTTTTAACAATTACTTTCTCAATATTCTTCAAAGCTATCAAATTATTTGGGGAACTTTAAAATAATCATAACATGTTAAGAAATTGGTAATTATACAGCCACCAGTAAGGTACAATACTGATGGTCTACCAGCAAGATATTAATGTGTCACATTCTACATTGTTAGTTATTATTTTGATATGGATATTAGAAAAACCTGTTGTCTATAATTATGTTTGGTTATAATCTAGCTCATATGATGACATAGTACCTGCAATCTTGAATAATTTCAATAATTATGACAACAGGCTTCATACACACCCCAATTAATTTTGTGTATCTACCTACAATAGCTATGTACATATATTAATATACATGATGACTTTTGTTACTGCTAGTGTATTCTTGTTAAAACTAAATACCAATGTAGATTAAATGATCTGAGCAAATTTCAAGTAACCTGAAATGTCATGTTTATTGGTAAAAACATGTGCAGATCAAATTGCATCGTTTAACAATCATTCCCCTTAGTTAGTTTTAATACGTTTCACAATCACTCCCCTTATCAAGTTGATTCTAATACAATTTTCTCAGTTATTGTCAACACTTCATCATACACTGCTACTCGAGTTAAATGTTACAGTATAATAGAAGTTTAAAGCAATGCATAATCATCCATTCAGTGTTTTATTTTACACAAGTAAAGATCTGTCCATGTTGGCACATTTAACAGTTTGTGACCACTATCTTCAAAATTTTGGCCCCTGTGACCCTCATGAATCCCATATGAAGACCTAGACAGGAAATATGATTGACATTTGGATAACCAATTAACATCCACACAGAATTACTATGAAATGGAAAATAAGTGCCATTCCCCTTTTCATTTAAATAAAGAAATCATGCTATTTCTCTAACATGAAATCAGTCCCTTCAAGGGGAAACTGAACAAATTGAAATTGGGGCAATTTATTTGTATCACTTTCAGTTTGTAGACATACTGTTGATTATAGATGGTGATATCATGGAACAGGTACATGGAGCCAACATCCCACCAAAATCTTGCATCAGCTAACACTTATTATGATGAAAGGTAGAAATAAGATACGAGAACATTATCAAATTAATTATATGTTTATCGTGATCATTTTTTGTTATTTCCTTCTCCAGGTAGGCCAATGGCTGATCAGTTTCACTATGAACTTAACCAACACAATTTGGTTAAATATTGGAAGAATAAAGCTTTATACATTAAATATGACATCCCTTCAACACTAACTAACCTCTTTGAATGTCTGAATGGTGAAAATACCATACACTTTTTGTAAAGTTTTGGGTCATGGCATGAAAATAAACCTGCACTGGAAAAAGATCAATCACAGTCTACTTTTAAAGAAGAAAAAAGCACTAAAAACAAACTGTTGGTGTATAATTGGTAGTGTCTGCCTGGCGACACCAAACTGTTTCATTGAAACACTAGGGATCAAGCTGCCTTGAGCACCTACATTGCATGATTTACTTAGTTTTTAAATTTACATTTCCACAACTGCAAATCAGGTATCCAGGCCGTTATGACGATTTCATGAAGGTGATGTCTTCATTTTATTCACACACGCAAGTATTTATATATGTACACATGATACATTTGCACACATTGAGGATTTCTACACCTTTTGTTCGATTCAAGATATGGTTTATAAAATCATACAGCCATGATTTATAGAAAGTAGGAGGTAGATACAAAGAAATATTACAGAATCATGTTAAAAACTTTCCCTAATACCTTAAAATGTGTATTCTGCTGTCTGATCATTTTCATTTTTTGCTATATTCCTATATAGTTTAGTTTCAAATTTACTTAAACTTAAAGCTTGTTATTTAAATGAAGCAATAACAATTTTTCCACTTTGATGCCCACAACTCAGATATGTCTAGCACTAGTGAATGAAGCAAAGATACATAAGCTGCAAAGTCAGAATTTGGAACAAGTTTTAGTGAGTGTACTACAAGATGTAGTAGTTGTTTGGTGCCTTCTCATACAAGAGAAAGCTGTACGGCAACAACAGCAGGTGCTGACTATCCTCTACATACAGAAACACTACACATGGACGTCTACTGTTCACTGGTGTAAATACACAGTCATGATGAGTATGGTCCTCAATGTTGTTCAGCTTCCATGTGTGATGCAGGGGTTAACACATAATACAATTTGCACTTACTGTAAATACAGGTAAGAAATAATTTGTTATGAATGTTTTCATGAAGTCTTATAGTACACTAATTATCATACACTTCTTCCACTGTGGCTCACCACCTCCCAGTGTTCACTGGTCCAATCTTCTCACAACAAATGAGGTGACGACAATGAAAATGAAGATGAATCAAATGATTATGTGTTAATGTAACTTCTCGCCTGCGCTAGTTCTCCTGGTAGCTGCTTTGGCAGTTCACACTTTCAAAGGAAGATTTGTCTTATTACAATAGTTCTACGAAATTCTCTCCTGTCATACAAACACTTTAGCTAAGGCGTCTGCCCCTGCACTGGCTATGTACGGCTTCGATGGATGGAAAGCTACATCATATATTGACTCATCAAACTTCTTCCTATGGGCAGTTATTTCTTGCACACAAGTCTTACTGTCCAAATTCCACAGCCTTATTGAACAGTCATGACCTGGAAGTGATCAAGACATAAAAGTTTTACAAATCTAAGAATGATTTAGTAAAACAGGTATGCTCCTCATTAAATAGAGACCTATTCTAGTCTCACAGATACAATTATCTTTTTGTTTTGTCTTATTAAAATATATTTCCATTTAACAAATATGAATATCTAAAATTGTGAATTTGAAGGTTTAGATGTTTTAAATGATGTTTTAAACAACACCAAAAATTAAAAAACAAAAAAAAAAAAAAAAGGAAGAAAAAATAATTCAGACTCTGGTAAAAGAGACTTTTCCTAAATGTAAAATTTTAATTAAAGAATTCAATTCAGCTATCTGTTTATTAATGCATATTTTTCCTAACAATAGCTGGACTTTATAATATTCTAACGTTCTGTGACATAAAGAAGGGTAAGATATGTCATACTTACTTCCTGATAGCAAATACAATCCATTGGGATCAACAGCTAAACTAGTAACAGCATCTAAATGTGCTACCATTGAATGGATCATTTTACCTACGAAAGACACCAACAGATTTATCAGGGAAATACAGACCAAACATCAGTATTAAAGTATATTTCCATTACTAAAACCAGTTAACAAGGGAGATATAAAAAAAATTAAAAAATTATCATATAAACACTCCTGCCTTTTAACAGACCATCAAACTGATGTCCAAGAATCTTTCATTTTTTTTTTTTTTTTAATTTTTAAACCAATCAAGCAGATTTTGTTAAAACATTCGCAAAATTAATGAAAACTTGCATGGATGGTTTCTCATTTCAATATTTAATACAAGAAATATTGATCTATGATTGCGGCTGTAAGAGTACATTCAAACTTACCTGTGTTATTGTCAAAGAATCTAATGTGCCTGTCTTCATGTGCAGTGATGGTGACAGGAAGTGTTGGGTGATTGACCACTTTGTTGATCTGATTACTTACTCCAGCATCTGTACCACAAAGATAAAACAGCAGTTACATAATGCTACCACAGAAAACAGGGAAACCCCAAGTATTTTTAAGCAGATAAGTAGGATTTTTATCAACTCAAACAGTACATCAATACAGAAAGCAGTTTCTCATTCAACATAGAGAATCATTTAATATACACTCCCACTGAACTGAAAGATTTCATGTTAACAAAATCTCCTGCTCTTCCCTGTTAACTTATTGGAGTCAAACACTTGCAGAAGTATCCCTCTTATGATGCTTTATTGAAGATTATACTTCAATTTCTCCCTCTCCAAGTATTCTTACTATGAGTAACTCATATTTGTATACAGATAACTATACAAGATATTCTACACACATTATATCACATCATTTTTGGCCTTTATAGTGTACACTGTTTACCTTGGTTGATCTTTGTTTCTAAACTGAGGACTTGTTTCCCATTTTCTATGTCAAATATGTATGTATTAGAGGAAGAATAGGATGCCACCATCTGACTTGGATCACAACGCACAAAGTCAACAGAGGTTGGAGCACCATCTTCTGCAATTAGATAAGCGGTTCATATTACTATTGGCAAAGATATTACTACATCACTTCAAAGTCAATCAATGCTGCACATGTTGGCTTGTGATAAACCAGAAAAACTAGAAAATGTTTGTAAGTTATGAATACTTAAGTTCTGTGCTAATTATGATCAATTTTCAACAAATTTCTATATATAGTAACTGGGACCTTGATTATGACCTTTAAACACTATGAAACAAACTCATCCAAGGTATTTCTGTAGCCGACCATTTTGTAACATTTATCAAAATGCCTACGGAAATGATGTCACTTTAGAGACGACAGTGATTCCTGATGGAATGTATACACTACTTGCCTTCCCCTACCCAGCAAATGGTTTGGACATCAAAAACTTGACATATAACCTCCAATTTTATCACCATCTATTATTAGAATGGATAGTTTTCCCTAGGCAAATGTTTGAAACAAAATCATCATGTGGTATACAAGACCCCTCCATCCTCCCTACCCCACTAATGTTGTTCTGTCATACCAATCTTCTATCCTGTAACATTCAGAAAAAAAAGACTCCCCTGGTCAACAACAATATTCCCTGTTTACCATGTAATGATATTACATGACCTTCAATACTACTAAACAATCACACATAAACTTTCAAATGACCTTAATGATATCACACAATCATGTCTACATTAGCTGTCACATCTAACTTTTTGCGTTGATTGGTTATTAAACCTTAAACAAGACTTCCACATATGGTGGACCCTTTTAATCACTATCACATTATCTACACCTTGGTTTTTATTTTTTACAAATATGTTTTAATGATAGATCCCTTTGTAAAGTCTGAACTGACCATCATCAACTGTAAATGTGTTGAGCAGAGGTGTTTTACTTCCGGGGCTCCATAACCGAACAGTTCCATCTGCTGAACACGACAAAAGCTGCATCTTGGAGGTATGTATTGACAGTCCCCACACAGCATCTGTGTGGGCCTGAAGTGTGTCTGACAGCACGGTAGGCTCTGTAACAGTAGTACACATTAAGTATAGTCAATGGTTAATAGTAACTTTAACAAAGATTTGTGCAATATCTACATGTGCATGAAGTCTAAAAGATTTACTTAATGTGACAGACTGCAGATTTTTTTGAATGATGTAATCTATTAATATTTTCAATTTGCTCTTGGATGTTATGAAAAATCTACCACAAGACTTTCCAATCAAAAATATGCTTAATTAAGAAATGTGGAGAGGGACAGATGCACATCTTTACGTGCTTTACGTACCATGACACTGACCTTCTTATTCCTAAGTATTAATTTTGAGAATATTCTCAATATAGTCACTTCTGAATAAGAGCCTCAGTTCAATGTATTATTGACCGTCAGATCAACACTTGGTAAATGAATTATGATCAAACAAATAATATCATAATGCTGTATTTCAAATCATTCTCTAGTTAACAGACATGATTTTCACTGTCAATTTTTTCTTACAACTCAATCAGTCTAGAAGTGATAATGCCAAACAATGCTTAAATCTGAAATCCAAGACAGACCAATCTTCAATTTTTGACAACTTGTTATGTGAATTGTTACAGACAAGCAACAAACAACAGAAATGTGGAAATTTGATAACAAACAGCTGAAAGTCTAAAATAAAAACAACAAGCAAATGCAGGGAACATTGGTAAGGCATTTAAAGTCTAATCAGAAAATAATTACCTAATTAATTATGCATAAAGGTGAACCAACAAAACTGGTAGTCAACCTCAGGATGAAGATAACAGAAAGAGTATTCAAATAGAGAACTTCCCCATAGCAAAAGACACTACTAGCTTATTAAGCGTATAAAGTTTTGAGCAATTATCTTGAACAGTTTCAGAGCACTGGTCAATAAAACTGAAATATGTGATAATTGTTATCTGTTTCTATGGTCACTAGGGCACTAACCTAATATATACAGAAATTTTTGTGGAGTTAAGTGGAATGGTTTTGAAGTTGTAGCCCGGAAAATAAGTTAACACTGATTCTGTGTTTTTTAACTATATTTCCATTCACATTAAGCTACGTTACTGTACCAAAACCAATTGGTCAATAAACAGAAATGAAGTACCAAACTAATCATGCATAAATATTAACAAATGGAGTTGGTAGTAAACCTCAGAAAGAAGGATAGTAAGATACACCTCCAAACCAAATATGATTGCCATCCATTTACATTTAGAGAAGTTCTCAAAAAGAAACTAAAGCAGAACAGACAGACACCCCTGAATAAGTGTCTCCTTTTCTTTGGAAAAGGGGCATAAAAGTCAAAGAAACTAAAACGAAAATTTACACCATTCACAATTACACAACATGTGATGTTCAAATTACAAACATTTACATGGACACAGCACAAAGCAAAATATTTATTGCATGGTAACCCAGAATAAGTAAGATTCAGAAAAATATTAAAGATATCCATTTGCACATTCGTCCACTTACAGATCAGTTCATAGGAAGAAAAAGCATCTACATAGTTGAATAGTGGGAATTACAAGTCACAGTGACCTAATTTTGGTATATAACACACAGCCATTGCACAATGCAGCTGCAACACAATTTTTTTTAGTAAGGGGATCAGGGGACAGAATGGAAAGGTTTTAAAATTAGAGGAATAGTGTATAACATTATGGAGACGAATGAATGGGAGACAGCTAAAAAAAAGAGATAAAAATGGAGGAGAAATGTTAACACATGATACACTTTCTACAGCATGCATAGATGGCCCATCCCCCAGCACTCCTTCCTGACCAACATCTGGACATCTACAACCAGAAGGTGCTGGAAAGATTACTGCGGAAAGAGGAAACTTGGCCTGTGAGTTACATACCTGTGCAATACTTACCAAATGAGTCATACGGATCAATGTTGGAACTTGGTATATTCCAACATCTGATGGAGGAGTCGAGGCCACCACTGAAGCACTGCTCACCTGTGGCACTGACAGCCAGACACAGTACAGGGCCAATGTGGGCCCTGAAGGTGTACACTGGCTCTACGTCTAAGGACGCAGCTCTGTCAAATAAATGTCACACATCTGTGAAATAATCTGTTACATACCTCGTTAAGTTTTAATGGCTTACAAACATTTAATTTCGTAAGTTCAATATAAGAACAAATTTCTTGGTTACTGAATTTCTTTCTGTAAATGTATTTTTTTCACTTTATCCGTTCTTTAATCATTATTCTGTTCCTTTTTTTAAGGTTAAATCAAATACTTGTCAAGCTTCTAGTAATCTTCAAAATAATCTAAAGTACACTAAATTTTGTTTGTGTATAACGTCACAAGGATGTTTGTTGGCGAGATAATTCCTAGCAAAAGAAGAATCACAGCGACAGAAATCTTTAAACCAATGAACAAGCTTGTGTATACTTACTTTTTGGCTGGGACTGTCTTTTGTAGATTCCATAACTTTAAAGTGTGGTCTTCTGATCCGGTTATTAACACAGGTTCTACTGGGTGGAATGCTAGAGCACGCACACCGTCAAAATGACTGTTACCAAAGAAATGTACATTAGAAAGCACATTGGTGTTGAAAGGTATCAGTTCCTATTTCATAATCAATAATTGTACAAATGCATTTGATGTAAAAATTAGGAAGCTTGAGGATATATTTATCATATTTTGTAAGTATGGAATGCTGAATGTTGAATTGTGGTAAATGCATTTCTAGTCAAGTAGTTCTAAAGAAAAAAAAATTCATTTTTTTTTTACAAAGAGATGTACTTGTGTATTCTTTAGATATCATGTCATTCCCAAACTTTACTGATCATCTGTTATATTAGCCTTTATATAACTGTGTGTATAAATATCTACAATTCCATATTTCAGACCATTTTCAATATTAGTAAAGCCAACCATTAAAAAGACTAATTATGACAAAGCTAAGCAATGTACTCAAAGAAATCAAACCATAAAATATGCCTATACAGTATTTGAAATTTCTTTGTAAATCTCAAATCAATATCACAGTTGCAGGCTGTGCAGTGTTAGCCATGGCCTATTCATCTTGAAGGTTACCAACAAATAACTTACCTTCGTAATGTGTATTTTGCATTCCATGTTTTTCTAAAAACTTCTTTTGGAGTAGAAATCTGGATTGAAAAGAAGAATGAGCTATTTAGATTTTCACCCAAAATATATGACATTCCTTGAAATGTATACAAAACCATGTTTAATGAATTAAGAAAGTGCCAATGTCAAGTAAAACTACAGACTTTAAAACCAACAGATCAATACTGAAATTGAGCGTGGACCTCAAATTCAGATTTATTTTCAAAATACTTCTGAAACTACACCGTAAACAACAAGAAAGAGTCATTGGTAGGTACTCTCACATCTAATCCACAAATGACCTTTCTTGTCATGTACTTTTCAGATGTCAAGTGTTAATAACAATACTGTGGGAACCTGATGGGTTACACTTACATTGTCATAACTGAGAGGATCAGCGTCATTTGAGACGGTGAGACTGGCAAGTTCTCCCAGTCCCAAGGCCTCAAGGGATTCCTCCTCAGCCCCCGAACCTATGATCTGTTTCCTGTTACCAGAGTTGTTGAATGGTAGAGAACCACCACCTTGCATACCTAGAAAGTGTATAGCGTATTAATCCTCACAAATTCTCTTAAAACTGTTATTGTATCAGCAGTTCATGTATAACATATGTTACCATGTATCACTGTTAGTTTGCTAGTAAAACATATTTATTATTGGGATTTTGTAATATTTCAATAAGCAATAACAAGTTAATAAAATGGTAGTATGGGCAAAGCTTTCATTATAATTTCATACATGTTTTCTTGTATGGCCTCAAAATGGAACCATCTTGCATTTGAAGAACATTCTTAACCTGTTATATTCTGCTGTGGCAAGTTAACAATAAAACAAAGACATGTATAATCAAGTCTTTATGAAAGCAAATTCAAAATTACATTTAAATATGTCATGTTCATTCAATCTAACTGTATTCAAAATGATGACAAGAAACATTCAACAATTAATTGCAAATGAAAAAAAATAATGCCTATTAACTAAGCATAACTGGCTTCATGCAAGTTTTATTAAAAAAATAATAAAATGAAGAAATAATACGGAATTAATGGAGACATGTTTGCATATGTAAGCCCCTGTGTATCACCTTGGCTTGTGAGAGAAGCATGTGAGTCAATGGGCAGCATTTACACCATTACACATCAAATGACTACACTTTCCATTCATGTGTTATGCAAAGAGTAAAACTCATTAAATCAACTGAATTTCACCATTTTATTTTGTATAAAAAATTTTGCCTATTTAACTTTGTGTCAAGAAGTTTTTGCTACAGATTCAGTAAGAAACTTGTAGTTAAATTTGAGTTCAACCTGTAATACCTGTACCTTTAAACTCTTACTTGCTTATAAAATGTTAAAGTGCTGTACTATCTAGTGACATCAACCCCAGTAAAATTAAGAATTGCTATCTTTTTCATTTTAAAAGGTACCACTTCTGACACATAAAAGGAAATTTTTTTACTATTATTTAAATTTAACTTAAAATTTGATTGTGCTTGTTTGAAAATACTTCTAAAGGAGTTGACTTGAGACAAAGTAGCTTCTGGACACCTCTGTTTGACATTGTAATATACAGAGTGAGAAAAATAAACCTCATCAGTGGTGAAGCGTGGCCACACACAGTACATGTGTGGGATCACTGGGTTAATACATATACAGATTAGTTTTACATAAACAGCATTTATCTAAATACAGATCTACTCACGAACAAGACCATGTGGTATAATAGCTATAACAAGACCTAGATCTTCTGCATGTACTTGTGACTGACAAGTCTTCAAAAATACCTTTTTATTTGCATAAATCAATGACGTCAAAAATTAAAACTGCTGCACAAAATAGTATCTCAAATATGTTCTTTATCTTCATCATTCCAGAAAACATAAAATATAAAGTGTTTATTGATTTTTTTAAAATATACATTAAACTAGAACAATTTATTTGTACTCGCACACCAGTTAACCATCATCAGTACCTTGAAGTAACCTATGCCTCCAAGTTTATACTTACTTTAGGTGAAAAACAAACTTTTTCATTAGTATAACTGAGTGACATCTGTAGCTATTAGATTTAATGTAAGCTGTCCCCTGAACCTGTTAGTTTGATGTCACAAGTACATGTGGAGACTTCAATAGTGTGGTCATGCATACCCATGTCATCTATTTCTGGCATGCTATTCCCGGACACTGAGGCGTTGGAGGGAGGCGAGCTAGCCGCGGCCCCTAGGGAGTTGGGCAGCTCTTCATCGTTGCCAAGGTTAGCAAGCATGGCCTGCAATGTTGATTTCTTAGGTCCTGTCAAAGGATGACACATTACATGTACCCCATGCCAATATATATTGTATCAAGAGGTAAAGGGGAAATCCTTTCTTCTCACTTTAAAGACACATCAGCTCACTTGTGTATTGGTACAGGTACATGAGTTAAGTCAACCATGATCCTGTTCTTTCACTCTTCAGATGAGTATATGTACAGACTCTTACACATACATCAACTAAGCATCAACAATATATGAAGTTAATCCCAAACATCCTCACCAGTAGCTCATGATCACTAACACTACTTCTTAAATAGATGACTTTTCTTCTGCAGTCATGTATACAAATGTACATTGTATACCAACCAAACACTTTATCTTCAGACTCATCTCAGAAATATGCATGATTTCGGAAGACATTAACATCTCCTTGAATTAATAAGAATATTTTTGATGATTTAACGTGATTCACAGCTGTCTTTCATGAATTGATGAATTACCTTTCGGGTACACTCCATCACAAAATGTATACCTCTCCTATATTACCTTAAGTATTACTTTTTTGTATTAAGAAACAAAACAGTTAATAAGAAATAGTATATGACAAATTAATCACTTCCACATGCAGGTTAATGAAATTTAAATTCAGTATGTCGAAGCGATAAAGTTAACTGCTTCTAATGGTTTGAAACCAAACACGCTAGAATTTTTAAATTTATGCTTCCTGTTGCAACAAAATTTCAATAAACATCATCTGTGGGAAAGGTTCACCATTGTAATAAGAATTTCTCAGGAAAAATATAACTTGACATATCAAATGAAGACTACTAATTCAAACACCGGGCAGATATAATGTGAACTTGTTATCTAAATACCTAATATGAAATAGACTTTGTATGAGAATATGAGATACAGAATTTACGTCACATTCGAACAGCCTTGCTGACTTCCCTTACAATCCACATGCGCCTCCACCACATGCAGAAGTTGAACTAGGGCAACCTGGAGTTGGAGCATTTTGTCTTTGCATGACATATAATGGTACAGGTACATCGTTCTTCAAACAGAATCACTTTAATTTGAGTTGCAACAGCTGACCAACCAACAAGACAAACAGTTCATTATAAGAAGATCGTGGAAAGACAGATGTTAAGCCCAAAGATGCCAGTACACAAAACCAAGTGGAAATTGCAGCAAGACCAAATTTTTAGTCATGATTTTGATTATTGATACACTTTGAATTTTTAACTAATTCATTCCTGAATGGTAAAATAAAATTTAAAGAATACCTGGTAAGTGTCTTACAATACAAGGTTGACGAAGGTAAGGAAAGATGACAGATGATAACTATCTTTGCCTCTCCATCACCACCCAAAAATAATGTATTATGTTGTAAGATAAAAATGTGCTAAACATGTGTTATATTAATCCTGCAACCATGTAACAGTGATATTCACATTAAGCAGAGCAAAGCACCATTTATTTACTTTTCTTACACTGAATATGAGCCTGCTTATACTATGTCTTGTAAGAAAATATCCATTTATGAAAATTATACTTACAGCTTTCAGAAATGTCAAGATCCAATTACAAGATAGTTCTACTGGTTTTTATGGCCAATGAGAGTTACTTCACTCATATAATTATAAAAATATCACACAAATTCCATTTATTTCTGGTAATCAGTGGTTTCCTACCATATTGAATTCATCAGTAAATCAATGAAAATCTTCTTCTTTTATCATCATATTTATTTTTGCACAAAAAATGTGTTTGTCATTACACTTGTGTCAATTGTAATCTGATACACAGGAACTGATACTGAGGTGCATCAATGCTAATAATATAATAAAATGACATGTGTTAAAGAGAGTCTTATAACTTTAAAGTGGAACACTTCTTAATGATTATTTCACAGAAAGGAAAATAATACTTATAAAATCTCATATGATGAGTGCATGGAACATAAGGAGCTCAAGACAATCTTTACCAGCTGGAGCAGCTTCACAAAACTTATAAGAGTAGATGTCATTGTTATATATTTCAACAAAGTTCTGGACATTACATTTCTTAAATGAAGAAGTATTTAAAAATTTGGTCTCAAAAGAGAATAACATGAAGAATAAGGAAAGTGAAGCATGAAAACCATGAGGCCTCCAGATAAATCTAACTTAGTCAGCAGACACAACTTAAGACCAAGTCAAGTGGAACTCCCACTCTCCCCAACAGAAGAACACAGACAGCATGACAATGTACTGAACTGCCTACAATAAGGCAGATATTCATACCAAACAGGTTCAGAGGTCAACAGCCATGACAGTCACAAATGAAGTGGCTCATCCTTAGTTAAGGTACTTACATGTAAACACTTGAACTGAAGACTAACTTAAGTACACTGATCTCATCATCTCCTGGGTATATTTCTTGCTGCTTATAGGTATCACAATTTGTTCATGCATAATTGATTGCATATATAAATAAGTAACACCCCAAATCTCTTAACATAATTATATCTGTATAAACAACAATTACTGTACATAACCAAATGAATTAAATAAATGTAGCTTGTAAATACAAGTTTGAATACTTTTGTCTGTCGTATAGAAGATGAACTACCATATCCAACAAAAAATTAAAGATTTTCCCAAAAATGAATTTCTCAGGATTTCGGACCCTTTAAACTAGAAAAATCACTTTAGGAAGAAGCAACCTTGGATAGAGAACTTTAAAATACACATGGGGAAGAGAGATCACATAGCAGAAACCATGCATGTAAAGCTATAGGCTACTTACTTGATGATTGATATTCTGTAGTATATGTATAATGATACAAGAGATATTATAACAATGATAAATAGCAACAAAGCAAATTTATATACAGAAAATCTATTCCAGAAAGAATCCAGCTTTGATTAATGGACATCAAAGCACCAAGATACATAAAAATTAAGTAATTTTCTTTCAATACCTCTCTCTATGTATCTGCAGTAAACCTGCTTCCTCTTTAACTTGTGAAAGTAAATTGGAATAGTGAAGTATGTTGTAATAATATATCCTGATGATGGATCCAATCATGGTGAAGTACATATCAAAAACTGGAATGTTGTATCGAAGATAATACTAAGAGTTATGCCACAAACAAATCAACCAAAATCAAACCACATCAACCTTGTTTAAATAACTTCCTGTACAGCATTTCATTTTGAAGACAATCTGTAAGAATGATGCATGAAAGAGATAAATAAGAGAAAGATAATTACCATGAGACATGGCCTTTGTGATGGTAGAAGAGGACCCAACTCTGTACTTCCTGCCATTTTTTAGAACCATCATAGTATCACCATATAAATCCACACCCAAACATGATCAACAGACAATACTAGATTAACTTCTAAAATCCAGGCACTGGGTTATATATCCCTACAGTCAACCTCTGGCCCGTGACCTCCAGTAAAGTGAAGTATTTCCTGAGCTGGGGCAGGCTACAGCAACAGGCAGATGTGTAGGATATAACATGTACTGTGTATACATAAGATCTTCTGGTACATATACAGTTTTTACCACGCATTCTGATATCACTTTCCGCAAATATTTCATAAACAGCAAACAATCAACAGTCTTTGTCGCAAGCTCAAGATACAGACGTAGTGGTATATAGAAAAAATACATTGTAGTGAGTACTTTCATAAAGACGAATATATCTTCCAATCCATACACATAACCAAATTTGGTCAATAAGTAAAATAGACATTGCTAGTTTGTATATCCGTTTAGTATTTCAATAATCAATACATTAAATCCAATTTACCTTAAAATCATCATCATATGGTATTTAAAATGGAAAATATAGACAAGAATTATATACACAAGAGATAAACTTGTTTAAACTGTCCTTTCATTCTATCATGCTCCTCTCAATTAATGTGTTGTCACTAACATGGAATTTTCCCTTATATTTACCAAAAACTTTTGGTTCTTAGTCTCTTTTTCAACCTGGACTACAATTTTCCCCAAAGCATTCCTTGATTACAATCTTATTTATAACTGACACTTTGTGATTGTAAAATATCCCTACTTATCACTTCTTAGGTATTTGACCAATAAAACTGAACATGATGCTGTGAGTGTAAAATGTTTCATCAAAATCCAGTTAATTCCTTCTGTTGAAACTGTAAACCAATCATAGTGATTTAAAGTCATAACGTCAAAATCCATTCATTGTTTTTGTCTAAACTTAGACAATCATAGCTTGAATGTTTTAAACACACTTTTTAAAAATCTAACTAGTGTAACTTCAAGTATTAAAAGTCTTCGCTTACTTAGTGTCTTGCCAAATGAAACAATTTTCTGACAGGCAATGGTGATATCACTGATGGTGGATGCCATCATCACATAAGGGAGATTCCTGGGAAGCTTAATTGGTAGGCATTACACCACAACACTAAGCAAAGCATTCCTAAACTCTATGCATGTGTGTACTTATTCTTTTTGTTTGGATACAGAAATTGTTCAAACGACAGAACAACTTATGAGAGATGATCATAGAAAAATAAAATTGTTAAAAATTTCCAATTAAAACAGTATCTTTATATAAATGTTAAAATGAACAAGAAGCAAGCTACTACTCTGTTGAAGTAAAACAGATTATATGCAACAAATGTACTGATATGAGACAACAAGCTTTCCTGACAAATACAGATAACAACTGTAACTGGTCGTTCTAGGTGCTACACGTACAGCACATCTACAAGCATGCTTCAATTTTAAAATGAACATAAAATGGTGAGAAATGAAAAACTGAATGCATGCATGATGTTCTTGAAAAAATAAAGCAAACTTAAATGATAAAGGTTACATAAACAACTTACTTGACTTCTTTCCTTTCCTCTCCTTTGTGTACTGCTCTTTGAGTTTAGAAATAAGCTGTTGGTCTACGTCCCATTCCTCTATATCCCTCTTCTCTGTGTAACACAGACAGAGCCATGTACAGGTCTCGTCTTGTAAAAAGCCCCCAACCCATCCACAACTATATCTTAAGAATAACCCATCCTGTCCAGATCACAACCCACATAATCATCACCATATAAACTTCTCTTTCTTTCTTTACAGCACTCTATTTAAACCAGGTCAAACAAACTGCTGAATACACAATCCACATCGTAACTATCCTCCAGACCTCCTGTCACTTACAGCATACAACACAATCTAGATCAAATGTATTTCTTATCTTCCAACCCACACTATTACCACCCCACAAATTGTCTAGTAATGGCACCCCCTCTCGTTCAGATTAAACAACCCAACTATGACCATCCAACAGACCTATAACAGTAGCCCACACAGATATGAAAATTACTAGCTGAAATGTTGCATCAGGTAGAAACATACTGTGTTTCCTGTTAAACATTATCTGACATATTCAAATTATAACATTGATGTCATATCAAATTGAACTACAAAAAGAAACAAAAGCTTCCTTCTCAGATTGGTAGTTAAACAGATTGGAAGTTTTAAAAATATGATTACATTTCTTAATGGTCTACATTACTTTCAACTAGAGCAAACCATTTCATAGATTTTTTAACCAAATTTGTGTATTTATACCAATAATATGATAACTTTGAATTTAACCAAAATCAGAAAAACGAAAATTGAGTAAAGGGATATAACTCTTCCAGCTTTTTAGAGTTCATGTTTGTAATTTGAACAATCACATTCCTTATTCAATATTTCTTTTCAATTAAGAAATCATACATACGTAAAGGTTTGTATATTTTTATTTCATTTTACAAAAAATGCATAAATTCATTAATATTTCATTTAATCAGGAAACACAGTACTTTTTAATAATTAATTCCTGGTTGTCTACATGATAGATCTGAAAGATGGCCAAGAAATGTAGTTAATGAATCAAATACTTTCTCCAAAAGAGAATGCTTCCAATGAGTTTCTTTATCATTACCATTAATAAAATATCTCCTGATATTTGTTACACTGATGCATAACATAACAATATATGATCTACCCAGGGAGACAGTTACACCATATTACTTAGTCTAAGGATAGGAAAGAATTATGTGTTTAATGTTTTTCAAAATGTAGGAACTCTTAAAAAGAAAGTTATATTTGTTGCCATGTTTACTTTTAGTTTTGTCAATTCATTCCACATACAGTAAAACCCACTTAGTCCTTTGGACCATGTCAATAGTTCATGGAATATGGGGTATTCAAGTAATCAGAGGATGATCACAGACCATCAGGTATTGATTATCTATTAAAGTCCTGTGTCTGTGTGAATGATGTATTCAATAACTGATCCTTTGATCAGTCCAATTTAGGATTGTGCTGAAGATTTCACTGACTTTTCATTTCAATGTCTTGAGTTTTACTTAAGAGAAATGATTATCTATTCATAGCACTGTTTATTTACAGCAAAATGTATGCCTAACATGCAGAAAGAATGTTGATGAGAATAGTGGTACGACAAATACTTCGGCATTCTCTATTTTATCAACTTTCAAGGATAAAATTTTGATTTCATATTCTTTTAGAATGTTGTATTTTTAACTTCATATGATTAAAAATAATCCATAAACACATACGGGGAGCTATGTTGACTAAATCATCTGTACCATCCCACTAAAGATGTGTGCCATTCTGTAATATTGTTTTAAACTAAAACAAACTTATTTGAACAGCCATGTAAAACACAAATGTATATGAAATTTCTCAAGAAAACAATCATCCTATGTAATATATACATATAGATGGAAATATAGGTATGTAATCATGTCACTGTTAATCCCATAATTATTTGCTATCAGGTTGGAAACCTGTATAAAAGCACTTGGAAGTGATATGAACCAGCACATGAAAGTTCGACACAATCATTTAAAACAACAGGTAAATTTTGACGAGCACAACACATTTGATGAATAGAGAGGAAAATGCTATGAACATCTAAGGGACAGATAAAATGAGTTCGAGGAATGCTGGGTATTCAAGGAATCCAACTTTGAATTATAAGGAATATATAAAGACTCTGTAGGAACCAAGTCGTCAGTTTGACAAATAAGTGATATTCAAGTACTTTGGGTACAAGGAAGTAGGGTTTTACTGTATTTCATCATTTTCCAGTTTTCTTTTTTTTGTTTTTAACTTTTGAAACTGTTCAAAGAAATTTGCATGAAACTTCATATCTAAAACATATACAAATCATTACAATCTTAACACATTGAATTTGAAATACTTTTTCACATTTTTGATAAAGTAATATGGCAACAAATTTGTGTTAGAATTACTTGTAACTATAAAACTGAACAAACACAGATTCTACAATAACATTACTAGGGGTGGGTGAACACAGACAACATGTGCAGTGTTACCTACCCCAGTCTGGGCCATCACCGTGACTACGGGCCTCTCCAGCTCCCTCATCACTTTCAGCCACAAGGAAGTTAAACTCTGCCATAGCCTCCTCTGTTTCTGGGTCGTCATCACGGTCATCTGCCAGCCCAGTCAGATCATCCACCTGTAAAATAACAGCTGTGTAACTTCACAGGTAGATGAACAAGATTTTCATGGTTTGTAGTCCAGATCAGACATTCTGATGCAGTGATGATCTATGGTCAATATATTGATCCATTCAAATGCTTACGCTATACCACATATCTTCACATCATAACTACTAATGTTATGTTGCTTTTACAAAAGGAGCTTTTCTTTACTTTTCATTTTATGTAAATGAAATTTAGTCTAATCAAGGTACCCTTACTATGTTCTGTCATTTTTCATGAAATATTTCTTAAGAAAATATGTGATTTGACAAACCTATGTATTCTGAGTGTTGTGTAACAGTATAAATTCATACCATGCATCTGATACTTTAGAACATTATTAAACTAAGGAAAGTGTGTTATAAAAATCATTATTTCATGCACAATTTCGTTCTATTTTGACTGTAACTTTTTTGTCACCTATGCAGCACTTGCTTCCTTAAAGGAAATAACAACAGGGATGAGCTAACAATGATAGTTGTAGAAACACTATGTCTTACCTTGATATTTTGTCTTTTTGTTGCTAATCTCACTTCATGTTCATCGTCTGCTGCCATGCCATCATCATTTTCATCACTGGAAAAAGTATATAATGAACATGTCTATTATAATTCTCCCTAATTTTCAAGACAAAAACTAAGACTTCTATCATAGATTCCTCATGTGAATACTAATGAAATCATGACATTACAATAACGCTTCCCCAGTAAGTATTTGAAAAATTACTGAGTGGATTTGATCTTGGACAAAATACTATTAACATCCAGCTACCCTGCAGCTACTTGACAAATTACCGAGTGGATTTAATCTTGGACAAAATACTATTAACATCCAGCCACCCAGCATCTGCCAGACATTATCACATAATTCAAACAAATACTTGATATTTTCCGTATCATTTATACCTTTATCACTTAGAAGCAATTTTGAAAAACCAAAAATTTACAAAAATGTACTACCTTATCTAACCTGTTATGGTCAAAATATCCCAAAGAAGCAAGCAATTAACATTAAGACACACAGCATACCTGGCAAACAAAAATATATAACATTGCATTATTATATAATTAGGACCTTTGAAGACATCCACATCTGGTAGTACCTCTCGACAGGAACCAACCTTACTTCTGGAATTAACTACCCTTTTTTTCAATTATGGGGAAAACAGTATAAATGAGCAGGTCAAGGGAAGGTTCAATTAATTCTTTTATTATAGTTTTTACCCATTTATGAGCATTTTTCAAACCTAAATATATTAAAGTTCACGTTTTCAGCAATTTGGTTGAAATAACCCATGAAAATCAACCAAGATCAAGTGGAATAATATCTTGGCAGGGGATTACGGGGTAACAGTGCAGATTTTTTAAACAATAGGATTGCATTTACTAAGGTAAAAATGCAGGCATAGAAGACAGTACTAGTGAATGGTGAGCAGTACATGCACAGGCATACCTGAGGTTATCATCATCATCATCCACTACATTTTCTGTGCCTAGAAAGTCTAGGGTAGCTAGGACTGAGGCTTCACTATCCATCAGAGCACCTTCCACAAGGGAAACTGGTACCTTCTTAGATGGTCTGATCAAATAGATAGGAAGCATGCATCAGAGGAAGAAAGTCTGACTCCTATTAATGATGAAACCTAACTGCAAACAGTGTACATTTTCATAGTACTAAAGTTCAGAATTAAGAATATTTGAAAAAGTATCCATCAATCATATAATGTAACATGATTATTAAAATACCAAAAATAAAAAACAAAAGACAATTTTTTTAAAAAATACTTTATTTCCAGATCATTAGCCTGGATTGAATTATAATACTTTCAATTAATTCCTGGTAATGGTAATGATACTACTAAGCACTATGATTGCATAAGGTCTTCAGATCATATTCATGAAATATACTAAAGCACATTAATTGAAAATTCAAATTGTCAGGATTCACAGGAGGAAAAGATATGGTTGCTAATGAGAACTGGTTACAGTGCTGTGCATTAACATTGCAGAGAATTTAACATCAACAGGTAGTATCACATCAATTCCAAGGCTGCATATTTAACAGTTTAATACTATAGGAAATATTGTATAGACTTGCCTTGTAACATGCATAAAGAGTCACAACTAAGCTCAGGAAGTATACATAGAAAAGAAGAATAATTGTTGCAAGATTGATAATTACAGATCTGTTAATACTAGTGTATTGTGATCAATTTACAAGACTCATAATTCTTCAAATTAACACCAGAATTTACAGGACCATTATAACTCCAGAACACTTACATTAATGAGTATAAACCAGATACAGGTCCCAAAGCCCCAGGGACCTGCATGGCTCAACTGGTCTACCCTTATTGTGTAAAGCCAATATATAGTGTTACAAGCTGAGATTAAAAGAAATGCAGTAATTATAGTTGGTTCTATAATAACAATCACCAAAAATCAAACTAAGGAAAAAATAAGTGTTTTGAATTCATAGGTTGTTTTCTACAGAAAGAGAGGACATATTGGTAAGTACATACTACACTAAACCAGAAGATGTCTGTGAGATATGAATGCCTTTGCTTCCATTTACACATCTGTTCAGATATGACACTAATTCGGAATGGGACATGTCGTGACAGAAAACAATTTGAAAGGGGAACAGACGTAAGTACTACTATATACCTCCTCTAAAACAGTGGAATCTTAACAAAATTAACAGATGCAGTAACAGCAAATATTGTGTTGTCTCTTTTTCAAAAATCAAAATGGCTGCAACATGAGTCAGTCAAGCACTATCAAAGAAACACAATTAACCAGAGCCTTCTACCAACAAATATGACACTTTTGAAGTCCAAGGTCAACCTAAAGTAACTCCCATTCTGTTGGATTTTATTTAAGACCATTAACTGTCTACAGTGTCAATCCACATTGTGTCCCTCTGGCCCATGGACAATTTTTAGTAAAGAAAGCAGAATATGGCAAGCAATATAAATAACAAAATCTCAAACTTTGTTATCACTTTTTTATGTGACAATCAGTCAATCCTTTAGTTAGTGACTTTCATTTTTTTACATGTAGGTAATAATGAATGCAGACATATCTCATTGTGATGATTGCTTTACAAATCAATATCAGTTTTCACTAATTTCATTTGTTTTTTTCACATTATTGAAGGGAACCACATTCTTAATTCATACAGGAGTCTCCTTGGCCTTTATACTTCAATACATACCAAATTATTTCAAATGCTTTGAAATTTAGGATATATCTAACCATAGTGGTCAGTTTGAGTTAGTTGGGTAAGGTGTTAAGATTTAACACACATATATATGCAGTTACAATGCTTTAACTTTCTGAATCTTTTTATTATTTCAAGTATAAAAACATGAATCGGATCAGATGTAAGTTATCATTCATCTTCTATCAGATTTATTAAAATGTTTTCAAAACGCCTACCCTTTCCATTGCCTTAAATCTTATTGTGTCAGTGGATCATTTCAGTTGAGATGTAGTGTTTCTTAATGGACTTAATATCATATCACGTTTTCATGATGGAAAAACACTACTGTATAAGAAGAACATCTTGTATTCATTCTATCTTCAGGGAAAAGCTAGCCTTTGGTTACAAATACATTTGAATTACTGAAAGGCTATAAAGTGATTTTGAAGGTGCATCGTGTGATCAACATGATCTATGTACCTTGCTTTGCTCTGATCATTGTTGCGCGAGGCAGCAGGCTCTCCATTAACTAAGGCTGGCTGGGCACCTTCAGCTTCATTCTCTACAGCATTTCCTTGGAGACCTAGTAAAGACCTCACTCGTGCCGATCTGACATTGATGATGGTGTCTGTATATCCAATCTCTTGAAGATATCTGTCAATACAATATTTCATACAGCATTATATGCAGGTCTGATATTAATGATTTGATGATAGTGTCTGTATATCTAATCTTTTAAAGATATCTGTCAAAACAAGTTTTCACAGAACATTACAAGTAGATCTGACATTCCACTATTTCTGTAGCTTTCTTAAGCCTTCAGATGATTAACATCAATACAACATATCCAATGAGTCCAACTAAGAAAGATCAATATAAAAAAAAAATGTCCCTTCACGGAAATTTCTGTGTGGCATGTTATATTTCAGACAGAAAATATCTACAAAAAAGAAATTAAATATATACTGGAAAGACTTACTGTCTAAGAAGTTGTCTACCCTGTCGCCAGGACACATTGCTGTTTGGTGTTATCACTTCTCCATCCATATTTTCATCTGTTCACATAATTCATAAAATTGTCATATTATATACATTATAAAAGAGTATTCAGTACATCAATTTTTCACACAAAACTGCAACATGACCATCTGCAACTCATACAAGTTTGTCATCTCTTCCTAAAACTGATATATACGTTGTATGCAAGTCCAATGACTTCGTAGATTTTCTTCCATACATTCAAATGATTTACTATGATACTAATACAACATGTTCATGTTTGGAGATATATATACATGATATAGTGTGTGTCACCTGACAGCACATTCATTTTCAAAACAAAATATCGTACCACATGACAAGTTGGATATTGTAAAATATGACAATGCAGTTTTAACATATTATCTGCATGTTTTCTCAATGATTCCCCTGTTGTCTGAGAAAGGAACTTTGTTACCAGAAATCAAAAAAAAAAAAAAAAAAAACAAAGTGATAAACAGGATATCAAAGTCACATTTTTAAACACCATCCACCAAAAAATCTTGAATCAACCTAGAAAAGGTCTTGTTTTTCGAAATGAGACAGCATTTGTAATAATACAACAAGGCATACTCATAAATAACACATTTGACTTCACATAGCAAAAAGTGAGCTCGCCAAGCTGTTGCAATTCAAATCCTTTCCAGTAAAATCTATAACATACCATATTAGTTGGTTTCATGTTACATATAAATTAATAAGAATGTACCTTCGTTTTTCCTATCCAGAGATGGAGGTTTGAGATCCTCTTGATTCAAATCTGTCCCATATTTCAACTTGTGATATTTTGCTCTGAAAATAAGAAAACAACATTGTACTTTCATCAAAATGTAGTAGATAGAAAGTTTCAAGTATTTACTGCCATAATAACTAGGTAATAGTATGTCATGATCTGGTCAATTTTCCAACATTACTACTGTACAGGTAAAGTGATGAAATTGATGGATTGATACCCAGCCTCTGAATAACTAAGATATAAAGATTCAACAATAAAAAATGTAGTTTATCAATGTATAAATCTACATAGATATATAAATACCTTTCTTGCTTTAGGGCAAATTCTAACATCTTGATTCTGCGAACCAGATCTTGTTTCAAATTTTCTTGTCCTTTTCTTTCTCCTTGGAGAAATGCAATTCTTGCCTGCAAGAAAAAAATGGTGGATATTTGATTATGATTGCTAATGAGCAGCAAGGAATTTTGTTCTTTTTTTTTGCAGTTTTCTAGGCTACAGGTTTTTGACCACAATTTTTCATACTGTCTAAAATCATGCAGTTATGTATAGTCCATTGTGTCCCCATCTCTTTCGGCACACAGACAATTGCAAAAGCTTGTCCTGTCCTCTTGAGCTTAGTCTGTTGAAGGCAAAAAGAGGTCACAAGACACTCACATCAAAATGTTGATTTGGAAATTGCAAGACTGTTTACCTAGTAAGTCACTACACACATGTCACATCCTTCATTCATTTGGAAAGGTTCAAAATCATTTTTGAAGTGAAACATACCATTGTATATAGTGTTTTGTTGACATAATGATGCAAGAGGACATGAAAAAGTTTTTTTTAAATTTGAAACAGAAGCTACAACAGGGCATGACTATATGCAGTTCAGTGAATTATCTTGTCCAATATGATTCACTGCCTATATACCTTGAATAACTACAGTTTATTGTTACTGCTCATTCAATTTTTTCATTGGGTGAAATTTGGTGAAAGCAACATAACATTTATTTGTAGATGAATATTGTGTTGAGGTTTTCAGCTTACACACATAACTCATCTGAATCAAACTGATGGCCAATATATAAAATAAGAAATTTTCCTGAAAATTACTTGACTTTTGTCAAATTTCAACATATGCTCTCAGTAACAATTATGTAGCACATTTCAAGACCAAATGAAACTGAATTTTGTTATAACAGAAATAGTGAAAAAGATTATTCTTAAATTGGATTATGTTACACCATTGATACAGTTGAAATTTTGCATGATTTTCCTAAAGCCTGTTTTTGTCATTATATCATAGCATATGTAGTTGTGGATATACAATATATGAAATTGTGACTTAGCCCATCCCCCCCCCCCTCACCCTTCTTCATTTTTTATTGTTGTATGAAAATAATATATTAATGCAATCATAAATAAAATGAACAGTTCCCCTCCTATATACATTCTATTCTTTAAATGTTTTAATAGCATCATCTCTTTATATGATGTCTTCAAAGTTTCATTTACCAATAAAACTATCACAATGCATTTCTCCAACTTTAGAGTGTATGGGGGAAGTTGGGAGGTGCAATACACAAACTAGGAAGAATATAAACCATATTCAGTACAATTCATGTTTGCTACCAGCAGGAATCAGATATGTTTCATGATTTTTTCTATATCGCATTGAACTAATTTAATCGTCAAAAGCAAACGTGAGTCACAACAACAGACATTGTAATCAATGTAATCAAGCTGTTATTAATAAAATAATCAACACATGGTTATCAATTTACAAATCTAGAGCAAACACCATTTAAGCTTTGTTTCCAACACTAATTCTTTCTATTGCGTAATATATCTTCCTCGGTAATAGCTACATGCGATGTGTTCATGTGGTAGAAGCACAAACAACTGTTACAACTCATCCTCTTCAGATTATAGCGAAATGTCAAATTATTTGGCCGCCATATTGAAATCAAATATGGCGACTGCTGAGACTGAAACAATTTTACTGTTGGTGTACACACTTAGCTGTAATTTTAAGGCTTATCGTCTTTATTTACAAACAAATACAATATGGAGTGTTAATCTGATCTAAAAATACATGCAATATAACTCTGAAATGAAACTGCACGCATTTTCACCTGAAGTTCTGCCCGTTCCACTTCCCACTGTGACCTCTCCATCTCGAATCGAGCCCATTCTGTCTGCAAAAAATGTAGAATTCCAGGCATGGAATACTGCGGCCGCTGCCCTAAATCATCCTGCTGTTGTTTTGTCATCATTCCTATTCCCCCTGACAATGGGCCGACCTGCCCTCCGTGTTGAGACCCAGGACCCTCTTCGATCATCTTACATGGTCGCCATTACAGTTTTTAAACCAACAGATGGCGCTGCAACGAAAATTACGTCAAATATTTTTTTCACACGGGAGCCTTCTGGAGTTATTCATTTAAATTCACGCTATTGTAACTTCTTGAAGTCGTTCCGAACGTAAAATAGATTCCACCCTTTTCCGACAATAATAAAGGCAAATCACCGTTCACGAATATTGGAAATGAATCATGTTGTAACCTTAACATTGTAACACTTATGTCTGTAAGTCTGTTGTGAATTGTTCTGAAATTGTACGTATAAGTCACTTACTACCTCAGATGAAACGGGATTAGTTTCATTGCAAATGTACGTAAAATAATGTGCCTCCGAGTGTGACCCGAGTCGACAGTAGCAGTCTGTTAGATTATCATTATTTTGATCATCGCACGAAACTGTTTTCACTGAAACGAACCTCATTCCATAGAATTTTGACATCGAATAATTTATGCGTGGGATTTCAGCTGTAGTAAACAAAGCGAAATAAAGGTGTGGTTTTCATGCAAATTTATTCGGAGTGAAAAATCGTATGCAAGTTGCTTCCCTTCCATCAATAAAGTTTGGAAGGAAATTGATTGAAAACTAAGGTGCTCAAGAGATTGCTATTTCTTCACTATCAATTTTTCATGGTACAAACAGTTCAGAGCTGAAAATGGTTGATATGAAATTATTGCATTTCTATTATGATTAGAATTTTACCTATCCACATCTTTATGTAAATTGTAAAAGGAAAGAGTAAATACATGCAATATTGTGAATTAGGCTACATATAATTAAAATTCTAGTCATCTTTTAGTTAGCCTTGACAGAACAGGGCCATGGAATTTGTCGCCTTGTTACACTCAAGTGAACAATTGCTTATATTTCATTATATGCACATCCAGTTTGCTTCACATCAATGTGAAATTTAGTGTATGGTTGAAATCAGTTTTTTAGTCCATCACATTTTCATATGTAGGCACATATTGATCCCCATTTTCATATTTTTAAGTTTTAAGACTAAACAGGTAAACATCTTGGATTTTGACAATGGAAATTTTTAGTTTGCTATCACTATTTTTAGAGAAGCCCTGGATGGAACCAAAATGGAATTGATGCCTGACAGCATGGACTTGGAATATCTTAAGTCTGTGCTGACAGTAATCTTTTGTTTTGACAGTCAAAAGTGTGCTATCGGTTTTCCTTAAGAAGTTTTTGTGTCTGATGGATCTTTCTCAAAATCCAGAGGAGGATTCCTCTTGGTCCTTAGTCATCTTGGATGTTTGAAATTTGAAGTAGGTTATCTCTATTTTTCTTAGAGCACTGGAGGAATCATTCTCCAACTAACTTCTTCAAATAAAACTATTTACCTATTGTTAATGTCACTGTAAAATATATACATTTCAGCTCAGACTTAGATATAGACTACACATGAACATCTAAATTTGTAATTTTTGCTGTAATAAAAATATTTGCCTACCTTTTCTTCACCGTAATGGCAAAAGGCCATGAGTAAAAGTTTGGCTAAAGTTTCCCTATACAACATGTAACCTGTAGGATTCCCTCTTGTTTACCATATGATCCAATGAGCTATCAAAACAACAAGTGATCACACTGTGTGAGTTAAAAAGAGGAAACAAAAAAGTGAAGAAAGATAAAACTTGCAACAGTTATTATCTAGGATGGTGGTGTCACCATTATTTACAATTTTGTTTAAGAGAACAAATCTTTCATTGGTTGATATAATGACTTTTTTTTTATAAAGGGTTAGGACAAAAAGCATTCCATCAGAAATGATGAAGTTTGTGTTGGTTGGAAACCGGATGGGAAATGTTCGATTTTGCCGATCCTTTTGTAGTGACAACCTGAAGGCACGCTCCGCAAAAGAACAAGAGATGCTACGATTATGTTTAAAAGATCAGAAACAGGTATCAAAACCTTACCAATTTGAAAAATATAATATACAAAATTATCTTAAAGAAAAATTATCAAGTTCTTTTTTTAAAGAATACTGATTCATTTGTGCAATATTATATCTGTAAATAACTTCTGAGTAACTATGATTAAGTGTGCAATTCTTGAACATGAATGATCACGTGATTTGATCGCTGGTTTTCAGGAAGGGTTTGTGGAATACCAAGACACTATGCTGATTTACAGACTGTACACAAATCTGATCTTCGTTGCTGGAACATCACTAACAGAGGTAATAGAATTATGTTCAGTCTTTTGTTCTCAAACTTATCATCTTTGTACCAGTTACTCTTTCTGATTGCTATAATCTGGAACCTGTGTGTGTTAAAGGTGAATTTATCTTTATAAAAGACAGACAATCTGTGATAAAATCTCACCTGAAATGAAGCCTTGTAGACATCAAATAAGCAACTTATGCTGTTTTTGTTATCTTTTCCAACCTTGATCTCTTCTCAGATCATTGCATTGTATCATCTGACAACTCCATTATATTAAAACAGACTTCCAAAGGTGTTTGTTCATCCATCATACCTCTTCATACCTCTTCTCATGTCACAAATTGTGTTTTACTGGTTGATTGCCCTAATGACGTTTTATGTGTTGACAGGCTGTTACGAATGTAACAATAATAATAATAGTATGTTGCAGACTTTCTTCCCTTAACTGATATATTTTCACAGTATGACTACCAGATATCCCTGACCTGACATTATATCACTGTACACTATCCCTGACCTGACATTATATCATTGACCACTCTCCCTACCTGACATTGCTTCACTGCACACTATCTCAGACCTGACATTCCTTCACTGTACACTATCCCTGACCTGACATTATATCACTTTACACTCTCTTTGACCTGACATTATATCACTGTACACTCTCCCTACATGACATTATATCACTGTACACTGTCCCTGACCTGTCATTGCTTCACTGTACACTATCTCTGACCTGAAATTCCTTCACTGTACACTCTCTTTGACCTGACTTTATATCACTGTACACTCTCCCTACCTGACATTATATCACTGTACACTGTCCCTGACCTGACATTGCTTCACTGTACACTATCTCTGACCTGAAATTCCTTCACTGTACACTCTCTTTGACCTGACATTATATCACTGTACACTCTCCCTACACACTGTCCCTAACCTGACATTGCTTCACTGTACACTATCCCTGACCTGAAATTCCTTCACTGTACACTCTCCCTGGCCTGAAATTCCTTCATGGTGTTATCAGTGAATCAGCATTTTTTGTACTAACTGCTATTCTTGTCAAGGACTGTTGTTTTTTGTGATTTTCTTCAATACATTTAGCTTCATTATGTTGTAGTTATATTATTTTTGGTAATTGTATTGTACTGAAAAGGAAAAGAGAAGAACACAGTAGAGCATCATCTTCTTGTCTTAATAAACAATAGAGATGTTTTCCTTAATGATTTCATTTTATCCCATAGAATGAACTAGCAGTGATGGAAGTTTTACAGAACTTTGTCGAAACAGTCATTAAGCATTTTGAGCAAGTAGTAAGTACAAAAACCAATTAGTAATAGTTAATCAATAAATACTGATTTAATGTACATATGATATCAAAGTGTGTTTGTGTTCATGATGTCGGTAGTAAGAAATGAGCAAATGCTTTATGTATTTATCTTTTACTCTTCCATTTGCATCCTGTTTTTACTAAAATTCCTCAATTATATTGTGACAAAAGCTTTCATTTTCTGCACTTATCTGTGCTTTGAAAGCAAAGTCACATCAATAGGTCAAATGACTTTCATGGTTGTCCAAGGTAGTCCTTCTAACCTCTGAACTTAAAACGCTCATCATTGATTGATTTGCTGAGCTTGTACATCACTAGGAACAACATATCTTTTTTTAGTTTATTTAGACACATAATACATGAAGTAAATATCATTCAGCTGTACTAGCTGCCTTACTTCTGATTGTCTTGTTTGTTTCAGTCGGAACAAGATGTATCCTTTTTGTTTACCTGTCTTTGACATGTCTTACACCAGAATGGTGTTATCATTGTCTGTATACAAGTGCTTACTATTCCTCTATTGGACTAAAGATGCATAAGTGAAGTTTTGTACATCATAACCTAGAATTTGTTATTTTTGTTCAGCCTACATATTTGATTTGATGAAACATGTTAATTAAGACAGTCAACAAGTTAAAGTTGCATAGAACAATATTTTTCCTCTTGATTGAATTTGTTGATATGAAATTCTCCCCGCATATTTGTTCAGACTTTTATCAGAAACAAGGTTATTAAAGGTCACCAACTCATAGTTCAAGGTCACAGTTGTCCAATTTTATCTTTATTTATTGGACAATGTATTTTGGCAATATTTCAGCTTGCTTAATGGATGGAATAAGTAAAAGAACCAGAAAGTAGTAAAAACATTATCTCAGGATTATCAGTGTTATCAACACATTAAAATGGAAGCAAAAGTATGGAAAACATATAACAGTAATATCATTATTGTTGTTGGTAGGTTATTATATGATAGGAAGTTTTGTAGATGTTCCTTAACTTTCTGGCAGTTTGTTTATAACATGGACAAGATCCACATGATCCTAGATGAAATGGTTGTTTCTGGCACCATAGCAGAGACTAATAAATCAAGAGTGCTGCTCCCTCTCCAGCTTATGGATGCCACCAGAAGATAGCTGTACTTTCTATGACCAGCCTGTTACTTAAAGTGATCAAAGAGGAAATAAGATATTTCAGATGAAGAATGATATCGTATTGCATGTTGTCTGTCATTCCTAAAGAGGTGTGACATCAAATATCTTAAGCTATTGTAAGACATGGCATCCATTGCAGACTAAGTTTGATCTTATGGATGTGAAGGGAGAGGCTTTCATCACGGAGAATAGATGTAGGGAAGCCAAGCAAAGCCTTTCGAGAAGACATGGAGTGATTGATTTATATTGAATTGTGGTAAGAGAGTTAAAGCTTAATGAAATCTTTCCTGCAGTGGTGTGGTCTCAGAAAGGATACATTCTGTAGGTAGTGATAATTGTATAGACAGGGAATACAAGTTGGTCATTGAGGAGCTTAAGGAGCAGATGGCAATGGAAAATCAAGACAAATTTTTACAAGTCCACTCCTTTAATAACAGCTGACTGATTTGAACTAGATTTGGTATGAAGCTTCCCTTCTCCCAATGAATTTGTATCATTAATAAAATAATGAAAACCAAAGATGAAGATTGGAAAACAGTTTAGATGAAATTTTATAACTCGTTACTGGTTTGTGCTAACTCTGAATACATTATGATCAAGGTCTTATAAAAAAAAATATGAAATGTTAAAGTAATTGGTTACATTATTGACCTAGAGAGATTTGTTAAGTCATATATAATGGGAAAATATGATGTAAATCTGTTTATGGGTGTTGTATGCAACTGCACACTATATTTGTTTATACATGTACATGTATATGATTATATCTGTGCTTGAAAATAATATTTGTAAGTGATGCTAAATTTGATAATTTCCAAGAAAAAACGAAGTCTGTATTGATAACAAATTTATAGTGTATTATTTATACCTCATCACAGTACAGAGTGCATACTAAAATGCAGTCTTATGAAAGAAAATCCATATTCAACACTTCATCTGATTTATCTTGTAGTAGCCTTACCTCCCTTTTAACTGTTGGAGATATTTCTGTTCTCAGGTATAACTCTGTCAATATACATAAGAGAGAATAATTGCACTACAGGTTTTGTAATGAGGATATCGGTTATTTACAATTAAAGTTTTAAAATACACTGTATGTGTATTTTTGGCCCCAAAGTGTTTGTCCAATTATCTTGTTGACAAGATTTTAAATCTAGCAAATTTATGACCCTGTTTTGGAATGTGAGCAATTTGATCTATTGTCTTGATGGGTGAAATCAAGGTGAACTGAACAGTGACCTGTCTGGTTCATGATAAAGCAGACAAGGTTATGACTGGGGACACATGACACAGATTTCAATAAAACGTTACTCCATGTAAAAATGTACCCTCTCTTTTAGACCATGTGTATCATATTTTATTTAAACAATGGCATCACTTACTTATTGTGACTGGTTTTAAAATTTTATCACATTTAGTTTGTTGCTTACTGCATTTTATACAATATTTTTGTAGTAGTTTAAGTGCACAGTTTATCAAAAGCTTGAAACAATTATGATGTATTTATTCATCAAACGAACTTGATTGATGTTATTTTTTTCTCAATATTTTAGAGGATTGAACACTATCTTTGTATCTACTTCATGAGGTATTTATGTCTTCCGATTTTTTTTTCTTTTCTTGATTATATTGGAAAATAGAGCCCTGAAAAGGAACAAACTTTACGCTATTAATTGGTTGTAGATAAGGTTTTATGATCATTTTTCATGTTTCTGTAAAAAAATTATTTATATATTTTAAACTTATTTATACTTTGATACACATTAGGATGATTCTGTGTGACTTTATGGTACCCAACTGAACAATGTATGAGCACTGAAATAGCACATCATTAATGTCTGAAATTTTTTTGTCCAAGATGGATGACACATACACAATATTGTGCACCCCATTTATATAATTTCATGCCTCAGAGTGTTCTGTCGGTCAGTCCATATCATGTGTTGTTACTTCAAGTTTACTAGTGAGCCCAGTTTGTGTTTTACTACTATAGTTGTCATACTTCAGAGCACAGATACAACTCTAGTAGTACTACAAGATAAAGATATATGTAGATGATTGTGATCTATATTATCCATTGAGTTTAATTAGACTTTGTGTTTGGTTCTGTTTCCATTAACATGGAAGTGAAGGAGTTGATGTAATTTACATTTTTCTAGTCCTATGTAAGAATTTTCTTTTGTTTAAAATATGAAATTAAGACTGTTGATGTGGATATGAGTCTGTCATTTTATTATCCAACAAATTGACTGGGGTCAAGAACATTAAATTTCATTCCATTTCCCATGGATCCTGATGTACTCCCTGCACTTACTCCACTGGTAAACTTTGATGGATCGGTCATACTAGATGAGGACATCATTTGCTGATTGAGTTGATTTGGATCGAAGCTAGCTGATCCACCACTACCTCCTCCAGAGGTGCTGCCACTACCAGATCCACCACTACCTCCTCCAGAGGTGCTGCCACTACCAGATCCACCACTACCTCCTCCAGAGGTGCTGCTACTTCCACCGCTACTTGAACCACCTCCGCTGGAAGAAGAGCTACCTCCCATCATGTTGCTTGGCGACATCTGACTTGATCCACCACTTCCACTTGATCCACTTCCAGATGAAGATCCAGTCATTGATGGAGAACTTCCTCCACTTCCACTCATCATATAACTTGGTGACATCATTTGATTGGAACTGCCTCCTGATGATCCACCACTCGGACTTGAAGATCCACCACTGGTTCCCATATTCTGCATAAATTGGGCTGGATCAATTTTGTTTTTATCAGGACTGTTAATTTCATTTGGATCAAAGCTCCCAGAGTTACTACTGCTTCCCCCTCCAGAGCTGCTACCGCTGCCCCCACTACCTCCAGAACTTCCACCCATCATACTGCTTGGCGACATCATCTGGCTTGAGCCACCTCCATTGGAACCCGAAGATCCTCCCATAGATGATGAACTTCCTCCGGTCATCATATTGCTTGGTGACATTTGACTAGTACTGCTTCCTGATGTTCCGCTTCCAGTAGAAGTACCAGATGAACTACTCGCGCCACTTGATCCTCCATTCATGTTCATTCCTTGAGTCATTGAAGACATTTGTTGCATATTTTGGAGATTTTGGTTGAGCATGTTGTTGTTCATTGTTGTTGGATCAAAGCTGCTGCTGCTACCTCCATTTCCACTGCTTCCACCACTGGTACTGCCTGGTTGTGTCTGTTGAGTCATTTGATTGTTGAAAGAATTAGGATTAAAGCTGCCTGTACTTGATCCTGAACTCGAACTGCTTGAGGATTGACTTCCACCACTTCCGGATTGACTTCCACCACTTCCGCTTCCACTATTCATATTTTGTTGAGCTTGTTGCATCATTTGGTTATTCAAAGCATTAGGATCGAAGCTGCTGGAACTTCCACTAGATCCGGAACTGGAGCCACTCGAGGAGGGTTGACTTCCGCTATTACTACCACCTGCATTGTTCATGTTCTGTTGAGCTTGTTGCATCATTTGATTATTTAGTGAGTTTGGATCAAAATTGCCCATTGGTGAAGCACCTGAGGAAGTTGATGAAGAACCAGACATCATTTGATTTGGATTGAAGCTGTTGCTAGAACCACCAGAACCACTGCTAGAACTGCTCCCTGGTGATGAACTGCTGGAACTCGACGATGAACTGCTGGAACCGCTTGACTGCATGAACTGTTGAGCTTGCTGCATTTGTTGCTGGAAGAGAGCATTTGGGTCGAAACTTCCGGAAATGCTTCCACCGCTAGCTCCCGATTGTGAAGATCCGGAAGAACCTCCGCTGCTTCCACCTGAAGGGCTTGCGGGGTTACTTCCTCCTGGGGATGCTACATTGTTTGAGGACCCAGCAAGAAACGACTGAGCTGCCTGTGACTGTTGTTGATAGATGGCGTTGGGATCGAACGAAGCTCTCTTGAACGCTGAAACAGGCACGTTTTTTTTATTAATTATCGTTACAAATGACGGAATTTGCTAAGACCATAAGGATGTACATTTCGGAGAAATATAACAAATTCAGATACACTTTTTATAAATATTTTGACTTTCGAAACAACTGTCCGTTATATAACTCACTGCCAAATGTGTAGCTAAGAAGCACCTATTTATATGTAGTAAATGGACTGACTTCTAGTCTATAAATCACTATGCAGTAGCGTTGGGACATACCTTGCATTGCGAGTGGTATATAATCGTTTTATTAATAAAGGGTTTCGCACCAAATTATCTGATGTTACCAATTGACATGGTAAGTCTAGATGATTAGAGGATATTCAAGTTTTGAGTAAAATAGTCTCGAACGGTGATCGTATTGAAAGATTGAAATGGATTATCTTACATTTAGAATAACTGTATTTGAAAAATAAATCATTTAGAAAAGGCGCGCTTGGAATATTACCAAACTTTTTTTGTTATGGTATTTATCAATGCCGTGTTTAATAGGTAACACCAGACTAGTAAGAGTCTTAAAACATTCAAGTTTATGGCTATAATGCTATTTGTCAAAATCAGATTGATTCCGTGTATGAAGGTTATGTTGTTTTTGTATCACACGTGGTCTCGGTCACGCGAGTTGTATTTGTTATAATAACAAGAGTATTTTAATGATTAATTGTTCACGGAAGCATGAAGGTACAAAAGCGAATATCTGCTAACGAAGCAAAGAAAACATCCAACACGAATCCAAAAGTCGGCGCACAGATAATAATTTTGAGAGAATAGAGACAAATCATACACATACATGGAGAGACAATCACACACATACATGGAGAGACAAATCATACACATACATGGAGAGACAATCACACACATACATGGAGAGACAAATCATACACATACATGGAGAGACAAATCATACACATACATGTAGAGACAATCATACACATACATGGAGACAAATCATACACATACATGGAGAGACAAATCATACACATACATGGAGAGACAATCATACACATACATGGAGACAAATCATACACATACATGGAGAGACAAATCATACACATACATGGAGAGACAAATCATACACATACATGGAGAGACAAATCATACACATACATGGAAATCAAAACAAAAGGAAACCTCAAGAACATAACACTTGATAGTAACATGTCAAAAACAAATTTGAATATCAAATGTAAATAACAGCGTGTAGATAACAATACGAGTGAAAATAAAAAAAAAAACACCACTTTCCCTGAAGAAACGAGCAGGATTATTATGTCCAATTAGATAAACAATACGTATTACTCGGTTATATACGACTTTGATATTCAAGTAAAATTTCAGAATGTAGATTGTGATATTCCTGTTAAATATTATATATGCCAGGAGGATTTTTATCTCTGAGTCTGAAACAGAGGCCAATTAAGACATGACACAGAAAAATTCATTAAATATCATTTAGTAAGTAAGAAGTCCACACCAGTTTACAGGATTACCTGGGAGTGCGTTACAGCATGCAATGTAAATGAGCACTATGCCGAGAATCATGTTGGTGACCTGATGGAAGTCGCGCTTGTGTAAGGAACAGTGCAAAGTGGACGGCACTGTTGACCAGGTCAACGTTTAGGTCAGCGCTTTATCTACTGGACATACAACCTTTTAATCGTCCAAATATCGGTCTAATCGATTGCATGGCATAACATCTGCTCCCCATCTGTCGAGATGCAATGATGTCACGAATAGGTCATCACCTAATAATTAAGATACTATGTATTTACAGTGCCTGTTTTCATTATCACAGTAACAAGTTTTCAATACGAACTTCGCAGATATGTTTTTATTCTGCTTGTGAATAGTGTGGCATCAAAAGGACGAAACAGCATACTGTTTTGCTCTTTCTTAAGAATCTGTTGTCTTTCATTTATAGAAATAAACAATGATGCAGGTTATTAGGATTTGTTTTTATTTATATGACATGAACCAAATTCATAAATGAAATCTCACGTTCTTACAGTTTATAATTTTACACGGACTTCGCTTCCAAATTGCATCATAATGGACGGAATGCCATTATTGAAAATAAACCCATTGAACATAACTATGGGAAAACAGACTGTAGTAGGTATCCTTTGTGAATGGTATGTAATCTAGTCCTTAGTTCAGTGGTAGTAATTCCGTTGTCCTACGTGCCAGTATATGTGATATATAAGTTAAATGGCACTGAGAATATCTCAACACTCCCCTACTATAGACCAGTAACAAAGGGTTGTTCCTTTCCGTTACACACCCGGAATACCATGGGTGTCACATTTCTTCACTTTACATGTCCAACATTAATTTTTTAATAACTCGCTACTCCTTAACGTCATGTCTATTGGGTTAAGTTTTGTCATTAATCAAAGGCGAGACAACGTAATTGAAAGGTGTACGGATATTAGAATATGAGAATATGAACGTTTGGTCAATCGGTGAAAACCAACAAACGATTATTCATAAACTGAACTTTATATTGAGACACTGCCTGTCTCATCCTTTCATCATCCACAAGTCCTAGAGGGACAAACTTTATGATGAATTTTGATTGATATAAGTGACATAAAAAGGCATCTTACATTTTGCTTTTTATTGCTATTTAAAGGCGCTATCCCCTGTATATGTCTTTTTAATTGATGGAAGTATATGAAGTGAAACCTATTTATGTATACATTTATTTTCAGTGCCTTGGCTCATGACTCCAGAAAATAACGTAATCTTGTTAAGATAAACACGTGTATGAGTAACCCTAAAGTGAATGTTATCTGTTGAAGACGTCATTAAAAGTTAAAAGTATTTACATCATGTATTTATTTTAAAATATTTTATCACACTAGGACCTTTAACAATTACATGCTTCATTTATTTTGAAGTTCAAGTTCAGTTCGATTGGCATTTTATTGACGTAGAGACCGACAGAGTCTATATATTATTCAACACTGCCAAGTTGTATCAAGATCTGATAGCGTAGTCAGCCAATAATTGTCTAATATGCACAGTGTTCAATTGTGTAAAAAAAAATCTAAAGCACGGATTTAAGATATAGGAAAGATAAAGAAGCACAGGGAAATAAACGACATTTTTTATCGAAACAATATCTCTAAATAATCGGTCATATAGTGCCAAGGACCAATGTGTAAAAAAACGCCATTAGCTTAATATCTTTACTTACTGACCCAGCCAGGAAGAAATGTTTTAAGATTTCCATTACTTGTGTTAGAAATTAAGCATTTACATTATATGTATATACATATATAGATAAAATCTACATGGTAATTCGCTAACGTTTGATCTCCATATATATATATTGAATGCGCTAACAAGTAAAGAGTTAAAAGAAAGCATGGTACAGATAATTTCCTTGTGGATGCCAAATGTACAGTGTATTGCAATTGTTATATTTACCTTCGTCATTTCTAGATTTCTTTTGTCTGAAATTTTGGCTGAACATTTTAAATATATATATATAAAAATTCAAACAATACAATTTAAATGATACATGACGCTTGGGTCTTTGTTCATTTTTCATTTTGATTCTTCACGGCGAACATGCTAGGTATCGTCCGAGAGGTATCACACGTTGCCGTAAGATCCATAGGGCATGTGAAGTGAGTTGAAATACAATCTTTTATATGAAAGTGTCAGTTATTTAAATAATGAGTTTTATTCTTCTTGTACAGATCATTTCTTATCTAATTTGTCTATAATAACTTTGCGTTGTTGAATGCGACAACAATTCTTTCAAGTTATTTAAAAAGTGCACATTTGAGCTAAGATGATATGATAGCTTCCTAACAAGCACGTGTTAGTTATGACTTTATTTAGACCGGTTTCCAAGTGATCGTAGACAATACGACTTCTAACTTGTACGTTTATATTTTTACGAACTGATAAACAAAGAATCAATAATGTACCGTTATCTGAGGTCAATAGGTCTACATTTATCATCATGTTCATATTAATATCATTTTCTTTGTTGTTTCTTCAAGCATTACACTTGCTATGCACAATTAAACATTCTTCCTCAGTAAACAGAATTTTGATCCTATTAATAACGTTTTGTCAATTCTGTGAAGTGAATTATCGATGTTTAATTGTAAAATTGAATTCCTAAAAGTAATTAGTGAAACCTTTCATAGGAAACTTCATAAAACACTCCATGATACAATACTAATGATCTGATGTCGATATGTCATCGGTACAATTTAAATTAACAAATACAGAAATTAACTCCAATTGTCATTTGCATAATTTGCTCACCTAAACATGTGTCAGATTATATATACGACTTACAGTATGTATTGGGCGGCACATTATTGGTAGGTAAATCGTCGGTAGATTTCAAAAGAACTGGCACCAAGACAAAAGTTTAACCTACATACATGAAAGCTGTAATCGGGATTTGAGTTTGGCATTCGGAACTTGTTAAACACACAATGCACGTATGATTTATGATAGTGATATGATTAAAACCTGTATTTGCTTTTCTGGCTGTGTTGTAGATGTCTATAACTCACCTTTCAAAAGATGCCTATAGTTAACAGTGGTTTCCTGTACCTCAGCCTACATACTCTACATTATATTGTAGTATGTCGATATATACTCTAGCAGACATGTGATTAAAACGCAAAATTCTTATTTACTTATTTACATCACAGCCTTTGTAAGAGCGTTTTATTTACTGCTTCACTGGATTTACTGGTACATATTTCACACAGAAAACAAATTTTCTTTACTAGACTTATATATTCATGATAGAAGCGATATCAACGGCGGTATTAATTAGAGGCTTATTGTGACGTCGTATTTCTGCTTGGCACTCCAAAGAAAGTTTAGCTATGGATAAACCCCGGAGAATTTTAATTCTCGATTAACAGATTAGTGAAAGCTAATAAGCCTGTTTTGCCAGAACATTAACTTAAATTTGTTATTGCCAGAAGGACTTATAAGTTGTTGTAGAATTAATCTGATTTAGAAAAATATTGACCATGTTGATATTATTTTAGAATTTATTAGACAAAAGCTCTGCTGCCTTACATCATGTTCAAATTCATCACTATTTGACACTTATCCCTACAGGGATTACTCATACAGTTTGACTCTGTACAAATCAAGAGGATTTCACTTTGCTTAAAACACATGATTAAATTAAATCAACAAGATACATGCGATATATTTACATTAAAACTTGTTTCGGTAGTGCTGTTGACATCATAACAGTGTTAAATATTTGTTAAAGTTTAAATAATATCTTTGCGACATTACATTTGAACGTTGTCGCATTATTGTCACTTGTGGCGATGTCAAAATATAGTACACGATAATACAAGCACTAAAGTGACTTTTCCTTACAAAGTGCCCTGTTACATATCTTAACACCTATTAATTCACGCCACGCAGTGTCGAAAACACATCTGTTCACATTTAAAGTCACAATGGCACGCTGTTCAAATATCTCCAGGGTTTAACAATGTCGTTTAAGATTTACATTTGAGTTTATTCACGTTCAGCATTATTATTATAACATCTATTACCTCGCGTTCTAAATCCATCTAAAAACCACGTATATGAAAGCAAACTATTTCGATGATTCATGTTTCGAGTATTACTGGTATATTGGAGTGGACATTTTTAAGCGGTCCCTGGCCTTTCAGAATCGTCATTAGAAAAAGTCACTTTCTTTTTTGCCTTGATATCTGCTACAGAAACAAAGCCGAAGAAATTTGTAGAACGTCCAACAACTTTGAAAGAATTTGTTTTCCGCAAAGAGCTTTGTTGTGGTTTCTTCTCATTGGCCGTTTTCCGAATACCCCTTACCCTGTTCTTTTGGTTGGTGATATTTTGTACACGAGCGGTTGTCTGTTTCTGTGCTTTTTTGTCTGTTTTTGCCACACTTGCTGTATTGAGATTATTTTTCCTTTCCCCCTCCTTACTATTTATAGTACTGTCTGTGTCAATACGATTGTACCATTCTGGTTGATTACTTCGTGTTGAGGAAGCCGACCTCTCAGTCTGATGACCTCTTTTCTGAGAAGACGTAGGCTTTTCAGTTTTTTCTACACTCTCAATTTTAATATTGTTCCGTTTTACACTTTTCTCCATTTTCTGAGTATTGTGCTGACTTTTATCAACCTTCATCGTAGACATATTTTTCGGGGTACTAGTTGTAGTAGAGGACGGATTTACTGATGATGTAGCTTCTTGCCGAGAGGACGTTGTACGTGACTGACCTTTAGGCACCGATGAATTATATTGCACTTTATTAGAACTTTGATTACTTGGTGGAGCCGATGACTTAGTTGGTGATGATATACCGGGTACTGAACCCATGCTGATGGAGACTCGGTCTGGCCGCCCGGGCGACATGGTGACTAGTATCCTTTCGCCTCCACGTGAAGGTTTGATATTAGGAAGAGGCATAGACATTCTTCTAGAGTCTCCCACTTCTGTTCTATTAACATAAGTGTCATTAGCTTCAGAAAAGTTAGGATTCCTTATAACATCATCATAGCTATTTCCTTGTGAGCTGTATTGAAGAATATCGTTCATAGGATATGAATTGTTACTTTCAGGTCGCACAAATTGACTGGAATCATACCTGTTTTGATGCTCCCTCCTAGGGTTTCCCATGGGCATATGAGCCATGGAAAGTCGGGATGAAGGCTGGGAACCATTATATGCCATGTTTAATCTGGAACCGTTCACATCCCCGCGAGAATATTGGCGGTAGTGAAGATTGTCTTGGCTACTGTTAGCCCTCGAGTTGTTCAGACTTTCGCATCTCGCGGTTTCTATCTTCTGCTGGTGGATCTCTACGTATGATCTTGGATTCCGACCACTAAAACTCTGAATATCATTCAAACTCATGCTCTTTCGGAGAACTCGGTGTTCGTTGTCCATAGCACCCCTTTCCA